AGTGCCTCTTCCACTTGGCACTGCATTGATCTCCTTGCCCACCGGGTGGGTGGTCATTGCTGCTCTGGGTAATGTATTCCAATGAATCATTATTTGTTTGATGTGGACCCAAAGGACTTTTTCTCACTCATTCTGAAGCCCTTCATAAATCATTCACTCTTCCATACACCTGCTGGCTGCTCAGGTTAGGTTTCTCCTCCGGGAGTTCTTCCTTACAGGGTGGGTGCCTTTCTCAGAGCCAGCCAGGCTAGCATCTCAACCTCTCCACGGCTGGGCTGTCTGTCCTGTTGTCTCCACAGGCAACATCTCCCTGCTCCACATGCGGATCCAAATCTCAGACCCCAAAGTTGCAAATCGAATGTTTACAGAGCAAGGCTCAGCCCCAGCTCGGGCCTCCCAGGGAGAATCCTTCAGATGGGGGCTCTGGGATCTGCATACTTGGTAATTCCTGGAAGAGTCCTGAGATTCAGAATTAAAAAAACATTTTCCAAAGACTAGTTTAGCTCCTTTTCTCCTATTTGGTGTGTCAGATGGACGTGCCTTGCCCCGTCTCTGTCCTGGCCTGTGGCGGTACTGTTGCTAGTGTTTGGCATACCTCTGCACAGGGTGCTGCTGGGAGGGAGCCCCAGAGCGTGGGTCCATATCCAAATCAGCTGGGGATTTTCCTCAGATCTTTCCAAAACCATGACTCGCCCATCTGGATGCCTGCCCTGGTGGAGCAAGGGCCCCTTGGTGCGTGCAACCAAACAGCATCCAGGGCTGAGTCCCTCTCCCAGTGGCTTCTAGAAGGAGCAGATAGTCAGATGAAGCAAGTGGGGCCTTGGTTCTACTGTGGACTTGTCAATTTCCTGGAAAAAATGGACAGGTTATAGCCCGTGACAGAAGAGGAAAACCAGCCAGCCTGCTTTGGGGCTCAGGGGCTTGCTGCCCAGGATTGATGGCTATCTGGGTATCTGGTATTGCTAATCTTCCTATTATGTTGTCACCTGGCCAGGACCCATGACCCTCTCCCAGCTAGACCCTTCTCCTATGCCAGACCTTTCTGAGTCACAGCCTTCTTCCTTTTTCAGGGGGCTTTGCATGAAATGTTGTGTGGGCTGCTGGGCCTTGGATGAGCTGAGTCCCATGACTCCTCAGCTGGTGAACCTTAGATCCCCCTCCCCCAGCCCCTTACAGGCCCCTCTCTTCTCCCTGCCACTTTCCCCACCCCTATCCTCTGGTGTGTCTGCCTTTCTCTTTGCCCTTCCTGCTTTGATGGATTGAAACCAGTCTCGTGTTCCGGCTTCTTGTGGTCCTGCTAAGTAGGTTTTAATGTAACTGTGGTGGGAAGAGGGAGCCAGAGTGTGTGCCCTGGCGTGGGGGGCTGGAGGCACTGACCTCGGTGTCCTGAAGAGGTGGAGAGCGCTCCACAGGTCGGGTCTTGCTCACTGGGGCATCAGTTGAGCCCAGCTGGGTCCTGGGAAGGCTTGCATGCCCTTGATTTTGCCCTTGTTACAAGGTAGAGGGCCATTCAGTGAAGGTACTGTGGGAGCTTGGAGGGTGGGGCCACTGTGGCCAGCAGAAGGCAGCCAGGAGCAACTCGCCCCTTCCTGGAGGACAGCAAGGGATGTTTGCCTTTGTATTTCACAAGCAGTGTTTAATTAAATAATTTACACCTCTTCGATTTTCAGTGGCTTGGCAGTTGATATTCCGGACGTTGCTGAGAACAATAGCCCACGCGAGATACGTTACATGGCAGAACAAGTTTAATATTGACATTTTCAAAATCAATGCAGAGTGAAGACTGGCTAGCAGGGGAAAGGAGGGGCCAGGAGGGGTTGGGAGGTCAGGTGCTGAGAGTCAGTCTGCATGTTCCTGCATGCACTGGGGAATGCTCTTCTTTTCCAGACTCCTGGGTAGATTCCAGGATGGTCTTGGATGCTCTCGGATCTGATCATCACCAGTGGCTCTCATGGCCTCTTTGGCTGCATGAAGAAGCTACAGGGCAGGGCAGGTGGAGCTGTGTAGAGCCCAAGAGGACCCCAGTGGCATCTGTTCTGTTGCCTGTGTGGAGGGTCTGCAGCTGCCTAGGCTCAGAGGAGGAAAGGCAACCCTTCTTGTCCACTGGCCCAAGGGACCACTTCACAAATCTCTGTGGATGACAGTCCTTGGTTTTGGTATTTGTCCTTCCCAGAAAGCTGCCAGTAAATAGGGAACCAGTTCTCATAGAGGGAAGCCTCCTCGTCCTGTTCTTTCTCCCCTGGAGATAATGGCAAGGAAGACAGAGAGGCAGCTATGCTGGGCTCACCCAAGTCTCTAGGAGTCTGGTGGCACTCTCAGGCTACGGTCCTGGGAGCCCTGGCTGTCAGTCACAACACTCAGCAGTGTCAGTTAGGGCTGGTTGCTTGTGTAGATCCTAAAGCCTCAGTGGAAACTGAGGCCAGAGGTGTAACTCTATGCCCCTGTGGAGCATGTGTGGCAGTTTGGAGTGTATTGTCTGGCCAGCATCTCTGAGAGCTCTTGAGTGACATGTGGTGGCCTGTGACGTGTGGGCCCTCTCTCACACAGGAGCACTGCTGGAGGCATTCCTGTTTTGTGGTCGTATGATCACTTGTTTTGGGCCATAATCTTCTGTATGAGGGTTTGTTTTCAGTGGCTTGCTTTGGGCCTGAGGGATAATTCTTGAATGTAGCAAGATCATTTGTACTTTTTGAAGTGTTTGCGGCTTTAAGTTTAAATATTTATTTTGGATTATTCCTGCCTTTTGTGTGTGTTTATTCTCTCTCTCTCTCTCTCTCTCTGTCTCTCTGTCTCTCTCTCTCTCTCTCTCTCTCTCTCTCTCTCTCTCTCTCTCTCTCTCTCTCTCTCTCTCCTCTCTCGTCTCGTGCATGTATGTAAGTAATGTAAGAAAAAAGTTGTGGAATCCAGATTTCTTGGTCTTTAAAGTAAATTAGTTCTCACTGAGAGCTTTCACAGATACCACATATTTGAAAATGGATTCCTTTGCTTATCTGTGCCTCTGTTTCTCCATCTTTCCTGGAAGCGCAATAACAGGTCTTGCAATGCTGCGTGTGTGAAGTACCTAGGAACATGTCTGGGGTCCTGCATTCTAGCAGCCACTGGTGTTTGGACATGTAAACAGACCCTGCCTTCCCACTGTGCTTCTCTGCCCTCTGTGTGGACACATCTTGGTGTGTCTGACTGACTGCTTTCCGTGGCATGTGTATTTTTCATGGCTCTTGTGTCCTGCTTTGTGTATCACTGGCGGGTCCTGGCTGGAGTGGGTGCAGCCTTTGGAAAGTGTCTTTCCCCCTGATACCCAGGGTCTGGATTGGAGAGTCAGGAGAGGAGGTATGTGTGTGGGGTGGGGGATGGGAGGACTGGAGCTGGGCTGCTGACTCCTTAGGGTGTGAAGTCATTGAACCGCCTGGGCAGGGGCGGGACAGCCCTTGTTTCTGAGTCAGTTCTCTGGCCCCAAGCCACCCAGCACTCACTTTTTCCTATCAGAGAAAGTGTTGCTCTTGGGGGGTCCCCAGCGCTGTCTGCAGACAAAAGGACACCCCTAATACATACCTAAGATGTTTTCACTACTGCTTTGGCCTGGCCCTAGCACCGCATATACTCTCCCTTGCCCTTGGCAAGGGGACTGCGAGAGCACCGGTGTCCAACCTTCCCATTCAGGGAGCTGTAGGGATCTGAGTGCAGGTTTGGGGGAGCCTCCTGCAGTCCCAGCCTGCCTTGCCTTCCCTTCCTTAGAGCCCTGTGTGTTCTGAGTTAAACCAGCTGGTGATGGACTAGGGGTCCACAAGGATGGAACAGTGCTCTGGGAGAAATATGGAGAAACTTCTGGAAATGTGACAGTGGGAGGGAAGAATGACATTGTCTGAACTGTTCTGGCAAATTCTTTGTATTGAGCTAAGCTATACTGTGAAAGGCTAGGGCTGGTTTGTCTTAGCTTTAACTTTGATTTCAGCCTCCTTGCCCAGCCCAACATGGAGCATGCCTGGATCCTGCCCAGTCCCCCTGGGACTGTCCAGATCCCCTCTATGAAGGGAATGCTTGGGCCTATATATTTATACCTCTATATCCTACATGCCCCCTCTGGGACTGTCCTTGGCTCCCCTGCTTGAAGACTGTCTTTAGGGAAGGACTGGGCCTCCATACTTAAAACTCCTGTGTTTGTGTTTGAGGTAATGCCTCTTCTCCTGGCCCTGCTGCCTCTAGCCCAGGGTAGGACTCCTAGGAATGAAAGGAGAGGAAACTTCCTGAAGTGGGTACTATAGGGGCTGAGTAGGCTCAGGACGTCCCCTTTCAGTAATTAATGGTGTTCATGGTAACAGAGGTCATGGGCCCCAGTGCATCCATGTTACCATGATATCAGCGGAAGTGTTGAGTTCAGTGAATAGGGGTTGTCTTATACAATTCAACATGATTCTGTTACTGTCTTCATTTCATTTTAGTGTGTGTGTGTGTGTTAATGGAGGCCAGAGGTCAACACTGAGTGTGTCTTCCTCCCCTCAATCTTTCTCTACCTTACTATTTGAAACGATGTCTTTCACTGGAACTGTGGCTTGCCCATTCAGTTTAGCTAAACTGCTTGACCCAGGGATTTGTCTATTTGGGTTTGTTTGTTTGTTTTATGTGAGTGTTGAGGATTGGACTCAGCTCCTCATTCTTGTGCAGAAAGTGCTTTCCCCGTTGAGCCATCTCCCTAGCTTTCATATTAAAAGAAGGTTGCTGAGGCCCATGGAGTAATTCGTGCCTCTCTGGTTTGGAAGCTGGTGATGTACCACAGCTAGACACTGGCCTGGCCCAGTCTGAACATCTTACACTGTATCTCGCTTGCAGCTGAGTGCAGCTGGGGGCTCTTTCCCTCAAGGGCTTGGTCAGGGGGGCTGGTGTGTGAGAAGAGGTTGGGGTTCAGGGGAACCTTTAGCTCCTTTTGGAGGGGATATCACTGATGAATGTGACTGCCTTTTGCTGACTTCTGCTGCCTGCTATCTCTCCTGCTGTCCTTGCAGAAGTGGTGGGTCACACTCAAGGGCCACTGGATGGGAGCCTGTACGCCAAGGTGAAGAAGAAGGATTCCCTGAATGGCAGCTCGGGGCCTGTCACTACTGTGCGGCCTGCCCTGTCAGCCACTCCCAACCACGTGGAACACACACTGTCTGTGAGCAGCGACTCTGGCAACTCCACAGCCTCCACCAAGACAGACAAGACCGATGAGCCTGTTTCTGCAGCTGCCACTGCTCCTGCTGCCCTGAGTCCTCAGGAGAAGAAGGAGCTCGATCGCCTGCTGAGTGGCTTTGGTGTAGACAGAGAGAAGCAAGGCGCCATGTACCGGGCTCAGCAACTCAGGTCCCGTCCAGCTGGGGCTCCAACTCTGTCCTCCCCTGGCCGCCACATCGTCCCAGCCCAGGTTCACGTCAACGGTGGAGCTCTGGCATCAGAGCGGGAGACGGACATTCTGGATGATGAGCTGCCTATCCAGGATGGGCAGAGTGTGGGCAGCATGGGCACGCTGTCCTCCCTGGATGGGGTCACCAATACCAGCGAAAGCGGATACCCAGAGACCATGTCCCCACTGACCAATGGTCTGGACAAACCCTATTCCACAGAAACTATGCTCAATGGTGGAGGCTACCCTTATGAGTCTGCCAACCGGATGCTGCCTGTCCACAGCAGTCACTCAGCCCCCATTCGGCCCTCTTACTCTGCTCAAGAGGGTTTAGCTGGCTACCAGCGTGAGGGACCCCACCCATCCTGGTCACAACAAGTGACTGGTGCCCACTGTGGCTATGACCCCAGTGGCCTTTTCCGATCTCAGTCCTTTCCAGATGTGGAGCCCCAGCTGCCCCAAGCTCCAGCCCGTGGGGGCAGCAGCCGAGAGGCTGTGCAGAGGGGGCTGAATTCATGGCAGCAGCAGCAGCCTCACCCACCTCCTCGCCAGCAGGAAAGAATCCCACTGCAGAGTCTTGCCAGCAGCAGGCCTAGCCCCCAGCTATCAGCAGAAACCCCCATACCTGCTCTCCCAGAGTTCCCAAGGGCAGCCTCCCAGCAGGAGATCGAGCAGTCCATTGAAGCCCTCAATATGTTGATGCTGGACCTGGAGCCTGCTTCAGCGGCTGCCCCTCTTCATAAGTCCCAGAGTGTCCCTGGGGCCTGGCCAGGGGCTTCCCCACTTGCTTCCCAGCCCCTCTTGGGCTCTTCCCGCCAGTCCCACCCACTGACCCAGTCCCGATCTGGCTATATCCCTAGCGGGCATTCCCTGGGAACCCCGGAGCTGGTCTCTTCTGGCAGGTCTTATTCACCTTACGATTATCAGCTTCATCCAGCTGGATCCAACCAAAGTTTCCGTCCAAAGAGTCCAGCCTCTTCCACCTTCCTTCCAAGCCCTCATAGCTCTGCGGGTCCTCAGGAGCCTCCGGCCTCTCTCCCTGGTCTCATCACTCAGCCTCAGCTCCCACCAAAGGAAACTACTTCAGACCCCTCCCGAACTCCAGAGGAAGAGCCGCTGAACCTGGAAGGGCTGGTAGCCCACCGGGTAGCAGGTAACAGCCTTGGAGACCACGAGACCTGGGAAACCTCTCCCTATTTCCCCATCCCCTCCCCTGTTTGGTCTCTGTGGTCTGTTGGGGGAGAGGTGGGTACAACATAGGTTAGGGGCCTTTGACAGCACTGTTTCAGCCTGGGGAGGTCTTGGGAATGTTCATTCAGCCATCCCTTCCTGTATAGATGGACCATCTATTAGGCACTAAGCCAGGCATTTGGGACTCAAAGATCAGTGTTTATCCATGCCTGTCTTTAGGGAGTTTGCAGTTTGGTCAGGGAATATGTACATAGATAGCTCTAATGGAGGACAAATTGTGCAGTGGCAGAACAGAACCAAGGTCCCAATACAAAGTCAACCAGGGAAGGCTTTCTGGAACCTTAGGGGATAGATGCTTCAGGCAGAGAGGCGACTCTGCAGCTGCTACAGTGTTCACGGTAGCAATGTTCCAGGGCCTTGGGACAGTAGTAGAAGGCTAGAGGGAGGATTTTAGATGTCGTCTAGATGCTATTTCCCTCTGAGTTCATCCCAGGAGGACTGTGAAAGTACCCTGAAACAGTAGGACTGTCTGATGTTCACCATGATAGTGACTTATTAATGAGGCTTGTGAGGCTAAGGTCTTCCTAGTTCAGCTGTTCTGTTCTTGCTTTGACCTACTCTGTATGGGTGACTCAAGAGAGAGATCTGTAGAGTAACTGTTGGGAGGAAAGGGCCAGGGTCAGGAGCCATGTTGGGAGGGATAAGCATGAGATACCCTAGCCCACAGCCCCAGTTTGTGATGCTTCTCCTGGCAATCAAAGTGGGTGGGAAATCCTGCACCCAGCAAAATGGTTGCCTTGGTTGTGAGGTAAAGCCCAGATAGGAGTAGCCCAGGGACTGTGGTGGTGAGCTGAGTCTTGTGCCCAGTCCCTCTGCTGACAGGGTGGGGTATCTTGGGGAGAAGAGGAAGGCAGGCAGCCGGCTATGCCCGCCACTCCTTTTCCTAAATTTAGGGGCAGCTGAGTCACCATGCCAGCTGCAAGGCAGGAGGAGACGCCCTCCCTGGGAAGGATGGATGTAGGTTGGGGAGGCAGTTCAGCTGACCATTGGCTCCTAGGTTGGCCCCAAGGCTGGGATGGGGGTAGGGACACCCTGCTCCTGAACTTTAGAGACTCCCCCCACCCTTGGTTCTATTCTGTGGGAGATTACAGTGGGCCATAATAGAAGTATTTACACCATAAAAAGTGACCATTTGCTGGGCAGTGGTGGCAAATGCTTTTAATCCCAGCTCTCTAGGGGGGCACAGGCAGGTATCTGTGAGTTTGAGAGCAGCCTAGTCTACATTTCTAGGACAACACCGGCTGTTACACAGAGAAACCCTGTCTGGAAAAATGAAAACAACAACAACAACAACAAAATGGAAGTGTGGCTGTTGGGGCCTTGGCTCCCTGGAGGACTGTCCTTTCCAGACTGCTATCTCTGTTTTACCTGAGCCTCAAGGCTCTGGTCTTGTATGTAGCTCTGTGACTCTGGTGCAAAATACTCAGTGTGGTGGTTCAGATGGGGCACCTGACTATGGCCAAGCTCTTGGTCACTCTGTCAGTTGGAACTGTCCCCTCGCAGCTTTCCTTCGGAAGGAGGACAGGCCCCCTAAGCTCCCCCAGTGTATCAGTCTCCTCCCAGTGTTTTATCGAGTGGTGGCAGGGTGCTGAAGAGCAGTGACCCCCAGTGTAATGATGAGCAGATCCAGGAGGCTTCTAGATGAATGGGGCAGATAAATTTTCTTCCCCTTCTGGAACCTTGTCCTATAGCTTGCTAATGGCCTGGGAGGAGGGCCACGGAACAGGTCTCCCTCCATTCAGGTTCTCTCTCCTCCCAGCTTCCAAAGGTTTCTCTGTCAACTTCTGTGTTCTGTAGCCACTCAGGTGTTGGCTGCCATGAAGTCACAGGGAAGAATAAGAGTATTGTTGGCACCATGTCTCTGTTTCCTCTCCATCAAATACAAGCGGCTCAACTAGGAAATAAGATGAGCTTCAGAGGGGACAGTTTTATCTGGTCACCAGGCCTATAAGATTCCCTGTCTGGCCCATGCTCTGTCAGGAACAGAATTTCTTATGTTGGAAGGTTCTGCTTTCACAGTATCCTTAGCATCCTTTTTGTGGCTTATGCAGGGAAAGACACAAGAAGATTCAATGTGTAGAGCATCCTGGGATCCAGGGCTAATAGACTTCCAGCACTGCCACTCCCTGCTTATTTTACATTCTGTTGCAAAAGGCTGGAGTGTAAGGCTCCACTGAGTTACCTGGGAAGCCCAGATCTGTGGAAGAGGCTCCCTTGACTTGGTGTCTCTCCTAGTTCACCCCTCCAGTGTTCATTTTCCTCCTTGGCTGGTCTCCGCACCCCAGTGCTATGTCCTAATTCATTCCATTTGGACCCACCCACCCCCTGTCTTGTTTCAGTGTTAAGCTCTGATAATGTAGTGGTAGTTTCTTTAACTAGAAACCTATAGTGTAATATAAAGATAGACATCCATTGTCACCACTGTCATCTAATATTGGATTGGATATTCCAGCCAGATGCAATGAGAAGAGAAAAGGAAATAAGAGTCTGAGTTGTGGGGCAGGGAGAGGGGCATCTGTCCATGAGAGGTATCTCGTGCTACTGACTCTGTGATTGGTTGGATCTATGTCTGATGCTTCTAGAGGTGGAGGTTTCAGCCCTTATCAGATGACAGATGAGTATCTTATCCTTAAGGAGTCAGGTGTAGGAGAGAGCTAGAATTTTAGGATGAAGATATCTGTATTAAGAGCCGTGGAAACAATTCCATGAGGGAGAAATGGAGAGGTCATTACTGTCTAGAGATGTTGGAAGGTGGTGGTGATGGGACTCAGTATGCAGTTCAGCCGTGATGAGTACAGTGGTTTCGGAGGTGAGTGAGGTTCCTGGGTAGAGTGGGTTCTAGTAGGGCATACGTCATGTTCACAGAGCAGTGAGTGGCTATGGAGCACAAAGGGAAGCTGCCACCCTGTGTCAGAATGGTCTCAAATCTCAAACTGAGATGATTGGATGTGCTGAGCAGTGATGGAAGAAATCATTAGGTGGTTTAGTCTGGAGAACAATCCATGGTCAGTGGTATTTCTGGAAGTGTGTCTGGTAGGTCCTAGCAGAATGGCAGCAAAGCAGCAGTGCCTTGGCCCGGAAGATGCCGGTGCTTATCAGATAGACCTGGTGATGGAGCCCTGGATTAGACCACTGACTGTAGTTATGGAAGAGACTAGGTGATGCCATGAGAACTAAGGGAGCAGAACCAATGCACTTACAAATGGACCATTGAGAAGGGGTATATTCAAGATGGCCTAAGGCAGTCTCAAACTGTGGGTTGTGACCCCTTTGGGGGTTGAACAGCCCTTTCACAGGGCTTGCATATCAGATATCCTACACATCACATATTTAATTACAGTTCATAGCAATAGCAAAATTGTAGTTATGAGGTAGCAATGAAAATAATTTTATGGTTGGGGGGTCACCACAACATGAGGGACTATTTTAGAGTGTTGCAGCCTCAGGAAGGTTGAGAACTACTGGTCTAAGGATTTGTGAACATAAGAGTGTAGCCTCCTTAACAGAGGGTGAGAGAAAGGAGGCTGACGTGATAGGAGATGGAGTTGTAGATTCTGCTAAGGTGATGGAGGCTCTCTAGGTATAGAGGTATATGGTTTGAAATGCTATAGATTCTAGAATCTTCTCTTAACTGTGGAGGTTAATGCTGTGAACTTGGAGGGGGCCTGTGTCATAGGCATGTAGAAGAGAGAAAACTCAGGAAAATGGCCACAAGGGACACAAAGACATAGCAGGATCTCAGTATGAGTGCTCAGAGTGGTGACAGGAGCCTGGTGCAGTGTGTCATTCAAAGTCAAGTTGGGAAAGGAGTTGAAGGAGAAATGGTGGGATTATGGGGTTGGGGGTGGGGAGAGAAACCCATCCTGCTGGCCAATGAGGTAGACTGGGGATCTTCAAAGGCATCTTTTCAGTTGAGTGCTGGTGACAGAAGCCAGACCCTGAGCGATTGGGGACGGCGTGGAAGAGGAGTGAGGACAGCTTGCCAACTACTCTTTGGAGTGGTTTTATGATAAAAGGGGACAGAGTGGTTGTTGAGGTGGGGAACAGAGCATTGGAAACTGTAATGGTTAAGTGTTGTGCTCACGTTTTTGAGGTAGAGATGGAAAGAGAAGGAAGAAAGAGGAAAGAAAGGAAGTGATGGACAGAAAAGGGGCCCGGGGACCTCTTGAGCATTGTGGCTCATCTGAGAGTTCAGATACTCCATAAAACTGAGGAGGCTGGAGAAAAATGGAGTGGCGTTCTGGTGGCCAGCTTTAGGGTTTGGATTGAGAAACAGCTTTGATAGTTCATTCTGCATACCAGGCTGAGTTCAAGGCCCATTCGGTTCATTGTTCAATATGAGCTTTAGTCTGGGCTGTTTGGTAGTCTAGGAGCTGGGAAAATGTTGACAACTAATAAAACCTTTACCCTCATGGCAGAATTGGCCGCTGAAATGTTATAATATTTTAGGTGGAAGGTTAAATGCCTTAGAGATAAGGCAGAGATGTGCCAGCAGGGGAGTGGAAGATGAGAGGGTGCTTGGCACAGTCAGGAAAGACTTCACTGGGCAGCCAAGGACCGAATTATCTGGAGTGGTCTGTGCAAAGCCCCTGAGGCAGGAGTGTGCTTGGAATGGCTGGAGCAGAGTGACCCACATGAGGTCTAAGAGGTAATGGGAATGGAGCCAGCTTAAATTTGGTCTGGCAGGTGATCCTAAGAACTTGGGAGTTTTGGTGTGTGTGTTCTGAGAAGCCTTAGAAAGGATTTGGTCCAAACAGTGACATCACCCGGCTTCTAAAAGTATCTGTATGGCCAAGATGGGAGGAGGGAGGTCCTTTCAGATGCTGCTGCTATCGATCGGCGTGCAAGTGCGGAGATGGGAGGAAAATGGCAGACTGTTTGGGAGGTTCAGCCAGGAAGATTTACAAATCAACTAGATGTGGAATGTAAGAAAAGAACAAAGTTAGGCACTTGTCCCGAACAACTAAATAATAGAGGTGTTCCTGGATGACGTGAGGACTAGGGAGGAGCTGACTTAGAGGGAGTTCGGTGTAAAATGCCTGCGAGGCTTCTGAGAAGGTCACATTCTAGCAGTCAGTGACTAAGGGAAGAGGCTGGAGTTTAGCAAGACTGGGAGCTGTGAAGCAGGTGTGGGCCCGATGGATGGCACATGGGAAGTGCCAGCCTCTGGTGCAGGCCCTGAGACACAGAGGCAGCTTGCTAATCAGGGAGGGTGAGGACAAAGAGATGCAGCAGGGCCTTCTCCAGCATCCCGTAGGTTTATCCCAAGGCCTCCACTAGTCCCCAGTGGCTGCAGGAGGAGAGGGTTGCTCAGGCTAGTGTGACAATTATACCAAGCTAAGGGATGCAAGGGGTGTGACCTTGGGTCTCAGACTGGTAGAACATCCCGGGTTCAGAAGGGGGTGGTGACCTTGAGAGCAAAGGGGGCTCTTGGATGGCCTAGGCTGACTGTGGAGGCAGGCAAACTGACGTCCCCAGGCTGCTACTGGGGTTAGACGGGAAAGCCACCTGCCCTTCAGAGGGGCAGAGACCCTGGACCACCCTGTCTTTTTGTCTCCCTCCCAGCCCGCCTCCCTCCAGTGTGTGGCCCTATCCTGGAGTCAGAACAACGACTAACCCTGATTTTTTCTTTGTTTTTGTTCTGTTTCTTGTTGTTTAATGCCTTGTCCCCTGCATTCTCAATGTGTTCTGTGTCCCCCGTGGCATCGGTGGGGTGCTTTCTGTGCCTGGTGCATCCCCTTCCTGCCGGCTCCCCTGGGGTGTGGGGGGACAGTGTACAATGCCAGGCTGCAGGGCCTGAGGCAGAGTGGCAGCTTCCGACCCTCGCCTCCCCACCGGCTCCGATCTGCCTCCGTCTCTGGTGGGTTCCTGCTGCAGCTCCCAGCTTCCCTCTCATCCTCTTTCCCGTGAGACGCCTTCCATACCTTTCTCGCCATCCTTTCTCTTCTGCCTCCCCTACCCCTCTCCTATAAGTGGCTTCTGCTGTCCTATTCTCATCCTCTTCCCTCTCCCTTCTTTCTTAGCTCTCACTCCCTCCCCCCTCTCCTAGGCTCTCCCTCCCTTCTGCTTGGCTGCAGGCCCGATGCTTTTAGCTTGGCCTTGCCTGCTGGGCACGGGGTCCGAAGTAATTATGGGAACTTTCAGAATGTCCTGTGGAGATGCTGGTCTTTCCAGTGAGGTGCCCAATGAGGGTCCCAGTCGCTTATCCTCAGGCACCCCAGCTGAGATGGTTTGAGTTTCAGGGCCAAGACTTGGAGGAGCCAGGCTGTGTTTTCTCTGGGACCATCACATGTCACCCAGGAGGAGATGGCCCAGTCCCTGCTGCACAATGCCCCTCTGATGCTAGGATCCGTGGCCTGCACCCCGCCTGTGCCTGTCTAGAGCCTCCACTGCTCGGAACCCATGTCCCCAGTCTGAAAGCCCTGCCTTGCATATGTGGCATGGTGCTGCAACATGCCGCGGATGTGCTGGTCCTGCATCAACCTCCTGTTAGTTTATTCTAGGACTATGTCAGCTCTGGGACGTGCAGCCTCTAGGTCAGGCAGGCTGCTAGGCTCTCATCCTCTGTTTACTTACTCCTGCCTGAAGGCCAGTATCAGGGAGGAGGCCATGTACCCAGGCTCCTCCAATGCCACAGCCTTACACAGCTCCAGGCAAGGGGTCCTCTGCTCCTTATGGCAATGCAGCATCTGATGCCCCATGGACTCTTCTGTCCTAGTCCACTGATATGCAGGAGGTGGTCCTACCAGGCTGTCCCTTCCCTCTCCTTTCTTCTCCGTCTGCCTTTTTCTTGGCCCAGCAGTGGGGAATGTAGTATTAAGCTGGGACCAGGGTCTATTCAGGTTATGGGACAGCGGACCTGTCCCGAGGGGAGCTGGCATGGCTTGCCCTGGAGCTGCTAGTGTGATCGCGTGTGGCTTTCTAGTACCCTGGCCCAGCAGGTGGCTTCCATCCTGGATCCCCTTACTTCTGGAGAGCTGGGCATGCGGCCGGACACCCAGTCCTACCACCTGGAGCTGAGGAATCCAGTCTTTTGGAAATCGGAAGACTGGAAAGAAGAGTTGGGTCTGTGGGGGTGGGGGAGACCAGTATCTGGGCCCGTGGGAAAGGTCTGTGTTGATGCCTGTGGTGTCACTGTGTGACTTTGGGTATATATTTATGTGACTCTGAAAGGGTGGCAGTGCTTTGCCAAAGTGGTGTGTGTGTGTGTGTGTGTGTGTGTGTGTGTGTTTATATATAGATCTCTCTATACAGATGTATATGCACATGCATGTTATTAGGTCTAAACCCATAGGGTACTTTGGACAGAGAACTGTTCCCCTAGGTACAGCGTTGTCTTGGGGGCAGTGAGGGCAGAGGCTGACTCAACACTGCTCCTAGGTGTATGTGGCAGCTCTCAGGCTGTGGGAACCATCTGTCTTCATAAGGCGGTGGGGAAGATAGGTGCCAGCCAGTCCCAGGTAAAATAGTCATTAGAGGCTGACACAGGACTAAGTGCCTGTGCATTATGAGTTGAAAGGCTACCTTTTTCCCATCACAGCATCCCTCTTCTCAGTACTGAGCAGCTGCTGGGGAGAACCTTCCAGAGCCATTGATGGTTTCTCTTTTCCTACTCAGCTTCCACTGGCCCTAAAGCCTGCTGTAGGGAAAGTTAGGGACCAACCAGATCACTAAAATCACACCACTGCAGTGTCCTGTGGCCCTTCCTGGGGGGCTAAGACACACACTGTGTGTGTGTGTGTGTGTGTGTGAGAGAGAGAGAGAGAGAGAGAGAGAGAGAGAGAGAGAGAGAGAGAGAGAGAGAGAAAGGAGAGCTCTTCTGCCTGTGTGCATGTAGCAAACAAAGGCTTGGGGAGAAAGAACTGAGGAAATTCTTAGTGGAGGTATGCACAGGGAGAAGGCCCGTTTTTAATGTTCTGTAGTTTGTGGGATGTGAGAGGGCTGTGCATTCTCTCTCTCTCTCTCTCTCTCTCTCTCTCTCTCTCTCTCTCTCTCTGTCTCTGTCTGTCTCTGTCTCTCTCTCTGTCTCTCTCTCTCTCTCTCTCTCTCTCTCTCTCTCTCTCTGTCTGTCTGTCTCTGTCTCTGTCTCTGTCTCTCTCTCTCTCTCTGGCCCTGGCTGTCAGCTGGTGTCCAGAGTCACCACTTGGCTGAGGAACAATGAAGCTCTCTTCTCTCCCCTCTACTGTGTCAGGCTCCTTCTCATAGAAAAAGACTAAAGAGAGGGCCATAGCTCTCCAGGCACTCTGGGTTAGCTATGGGCTTGCCAAGGGGGATAACAGTGAGACACTGTATTCCAAGACTAAGTGCCCTGACTGGCTGCTGGTGCCATGGACCATTCTCTGGGAATGGTCAGCCTTGTGGGAGTGGAATGTGAGGGTCTTTCCTCTTCTGTGAGAAGAAAGTTAGTCCTGCAGTCTCCTCGCTCTTTGGAGATCATTTGGTCCATTCCCCTGCCTCTGGCCAGAGGATGCTCCCATGTGCCATCCTGCCAGTGGCAGGGAAGGGAGCTGAATGACTCAGCTACACTTGCTTTCAAGTGCCTGTCTACCTTGGGCAGGTCTATGTCCTCTACTGGTGACTCACCACACATGCAGAACAGCCTCAGCCCTCACTATTGTCCTCTGGCCCTGGGAGGCAGTGCCAAGAAAGGATGGGTGAGAATGTTCTCTGCCCCTTCTAGAGTGTGACTCCAATGGAAACAGACAGCCTTTTCAAAAGCCAGTGCAGGGCCCCCAAGCAAGGAAGTGGCTACTCTTGAAAAAGCAAAGAGATTGCCAGAGAATGTGGTGGTGGTGGTGATGGCAGTATGGAGGTGACCCTTGACCCAAAGGCAGCTCTTATGTGTTTCCTTTCACCTGGGAACTCAACTCAACTCCATACCCCCAGAACTTTTGGAAAGTTGCTCCTTTGTCACAACAGTATTAGAAAAGCTGTGGTCATGTGTGCTTCCCTCTGATGTTTCTGCCAGGAAGGAGCCCAGAAACAGGGCTAGGGCTGGCTCACACTTCCCAGAGGCCTGAGTTGAGCAGGGCCTGGTTGGAGGAAAGAGAAGAGGGCTGTGGCCAGAGGCAGCCTGAGTTCTGGGAGCTTAGAGTTGCTGGCAGAGTCTGATGTGGCTCCAGATGTCCAGAGCCACCTCCTCCCTTGACTCCCTGTAGATTCTCCCAGCAGCTCCCGCTCTGGACTGACACGCCCTCTTTTCCTCTCCTGGAAATGAGGGTGTTCTGAGGTTAGGGGCTTGTTTGCTTTGAGCAGAGCTGTTTGGGACCAGCAGGATGCCCTCTGTTTTGGTCTCCATTGTGCAGGTAGGCAGGGCTGCTTCTGAGTAACAGCACACATGGAGACTCTGGTGTGCCTTCTACCTTCAGCATCTGGCATGCACCATGGGCAGCCGGTCTTGCTAGCCCCTGGCAGGCCCCCAGAGCCTCCATCACTGAGCACATGCCTATGGACCACAGTAACTCTGTGTGAGCAAAGTGGCTCTGCCCCAGCCCACATTCTGCTGTTCCTGTTAAGCAGGAAGGTTCCTGAGTAGTGCAGGCCATGGCAACCATTTTGTGGCTGTGGCAAACTAAGGTTTGGGGACCACCTGGGCTGTGCAGATCCCACTATAGAGAATGAGGGGATTCGGGCTATGTAAGGGCGAGTCCTACCAGGCTGTCCGGGCTGTGTTCCTAAAGGCCAGCATTGCATGTGTGTGTTTATACATGCCTGTGTGTATGCACACACTCCCACTTGTAACTAGGGAGGGGGTCCCAAATGTGTATTCATGTCCCAAGCTCATGTGACCTAAGCCCCTTAGTTCTGGTGTCGATGAGGCAGAGATGAGAATTTAAGGGAATTAGGCCTAGGAGCCAACTCTCAGGGTTGGGCCTTGGCTCCTGGGACCTGGGAAGTCAGTATTCTAGGATTCTGGAAGCCGGCAGAGTGAAATAATAGATTCCATGCCTTGGCCCAGCTGTGAGGAGAGAAGACAGGGAGGAGGCAGGGTGAGGCTAACATGGGCAGCCTTTGTTGTGGGCTAAACAGGAAGTGGGGACAGGAAGATGGAGCCTTTGCTCTCATTTGCTTGCCCTTTGCCAGGGTAGGGGATGGCGGGAGCCTGGCCTCCACCATGGCTGCAGCCACCGTGGGTTGGTGAAGGAAGAGGGCTCCTAAGGGGCTACTGTAGGGAAGTTGGGTAGAGGTTTCAGGGGTTGCGGTGGATGAAAGCCAGGGAACCCCTGAGATCAGAACTGCCACAGAACCCAGTGTGGCTGGAGACTTCAGAGTGTGACTTGGTCATTCCTTTGTTTCCCACTGGGAGCACCATGTGCGGTGATGCAATTTAGCTCTTTCCAAAAGTCCTTCCCAAAGGCTCCATGTTGCTTGTTGGTTGATGCAGTTGCCTTGGAGACCCTCCCTCCCCTCCTCTGGAAGCTCTGGCCTTTTGCCTCTGGGGGCTGGAAGGAGCCGACATCTGTTTCTTGTATCAATTCTTTGTGCTCTTGGTCCAAATCCTACGCAGCGTAGAGACTCCTCTTGAAGGCAGAGGGCAGGCTAGGCAGCCTCTACCGTCTACCCCACCATACTGGGGAAAATTCAGGGTCTGAGCTGAGTTGGGGACAGGAAGGCATGGTGAGGGACTGAGGGCATGTGGTTCCCTCCAGCTTAGCCCCCCAGCTGAGGTGTTGCCTTTGTGTGAGGGGGTGTTGTTAGGTGGGATTGCATCATTCATTAGTGTGCTCATTACTCTCCATACCCTGCCCTCCCCCCCCCAGGGGTTCAGGCTCGGGAGAGGCAGCCTGCAGAGCCCCCAGCCCCGCTCCGGAGACGGGCAGCCAGTGACGGGCAGTATGAGAACCAGTCTCCAGAGGCCACATCTCCCCGTAGTCCTGGGATCCGCTCCCCGGTCCAGTGTGTCTCCCCTGAGCTGGCTCTTACCATTGCCCTCAACCCAGGAGGGCGACCCAAAGAGGTGAGTCCTTGAGTTGATGAGTCCTGAGACCACAGCAGGAAACAGAGTCTGTGGTGCATCTCCAGGAGCTCGAGGGTCAGCTGCTATTGCTTCACCAGTAAATGCAGTGATTTCTCCCTTTCGGCATCCTCACCCCAGGTCTCCTCTCTTCAATAACATTTGTACCCAGCTTGCTTTAACACTGAAACTGAAGTTCCCTTCTTGATCCTCAAAGAAAGGTCTTTAGGGAGGCGATAAGCATCCTGGAGGTGGCATACATGACCTCAAGATTTACAGTCCGAAGTGGGGCAGGTAGACTGGCTTTTGAGAAATAAGCCTCTTAGGATGTTTCATTTTTGTGCCCAAATGATTCCACTGTGGAGACATTTCAGTAGTCAGCAGTCGCGGTGGGTCTCGAAGTTCCATGTGCAGAAGAACTGCCTGGGAGTTTGTTAAAAACCCCTCATTCCCTGCATTTCCGAGAGCCCCCTCAGAGCCTCCAGCATAGCAGAGCTCTGTGCCCCTGTTCTGACATAGTTCAGCCTAGGCTTTAGTGTGGCCTTGCAAACAGCCACTCCCCATACTCAGCCACCAACAAGGAGTGGTTGAGGCAGTGAGTGGCCAGCGTTGGGGCTTCCCTGGGCGAGGTGGAGACTCAAGCTGGACAGGGTATGTGCGAGCTGCCAAGCTTGCTGCCCTCATGCCCAGGATCACCTGAAGAGGAGCCTCTCCTCAGAGCTTCCTTCTCTCCACCCTTCTGTTCTCCTGCAGCCCCATCTGCATAGCTACAAGGAGGCCTTTGAGGAGATGGAGGGGACCTCCCCAAGCAGCCCGCCACCCAGTGGGGGTAAGAGCAACCTGCTAACCCTGTCTTCTTCCCCACCTTGTGTCCTCAGTAGGCTGTATGATTGTCACAGGTGTGGGGTGGGCGGGGAGAGAGTCAGAGGAGGTGGGAAGGGCTTTTCACTCAGCAGCTCACCCCAGGCTACTCTCAACCCAAGTGTGATACCATCTTGGACTTAGCATCCATTCTGTTTGACTGTTGGTCCTGGCTCCTCTCTTATGGAGGTCTGTGTGTGTGTGTGTGTGTGTGTGTGTGTGTGTGTGTGTGTGTGTGTTCCCCATGCAACACCATTGACAAATCCTCTCCCAACTGACAGTTGTGACTTGTCCTTGCTCTTGTTTCTGACGCCTTGCCTGTCTGTGTCCAGTCATCTTCACCTCTGGCATCCTGTGGCACTTCTACTAAGAAAGAATTGGCGTGGGCATATCCGCTCTTATGCTCTTCCCGGCCTCTAGAAGGGGTTTGAGTTTCCACCCCCAGTGTACCCACTGGAGAGCCGGTCTCTGAAGGACAGACAGACAGAGAGCTGAATGAGCCCCAGGGTGGTCAGTGTTCCTTTCTGTAGGGGAAATTGCCTTGAGAGGAATTGGGGGAGATTGTTGAAGGGGAATTGATAGGGTCATACAAGGTGGTGGGAAACCCAGGGTTCCCATGAGAGGCCTGGGTGGCAGAAAAAGTAGAGATGGGCAATGCTCGGTGCTTAGGTAGGCTGGGACTGGCCTGAGCTGCCCATGAGTCCCCGAGAAAGAGAAAAAGTCAGTAGGAAAAGGTGACTGAACTTAGCTGTGCATCCTCTGGGGTGTGGCTGTCCCGCACAGGGACAGAATATGGCCTGCATGTGTGGGCCACTATCCCAGGCATATGGGAGGTTGAAGCTGTGACTGTGGTCGTCCTGGGAGGCATGGCTTCTGATGCCCAGTAGAGTGTGTGGAATGAGCACGTGTGTATGCTCACGCGCGTGCGCGCGCGCACATACACACACACACACACACACACACACACACACACACACGCACTTGTGATTTAAAATTCCCTGTGTCAGGACACTAGTGAAATCAATTGCAGTAACTTTTAACTAAATCTGAAAAATTGGCATTTCAATAGGGTAGACAGTATTTCATATCAATATTTTAGGGAGACATTGTAGAAGAAATGTTATAAGAGTGCTAGAGAGATGACTTAGTGGGCAAAGTGCTTGCTATACACTAATGAAAGCCTGAGTTTGGGTCCTTAGCACCTCCACACGAAAAAGCTAGGGGCACCTGTAGTCTCAGCTCTAGGGTACAGGACAAGAGGACCCCCGGAGCTGGCTGCCAGCCTCACCAAACCACAGACCCAGTCTCGAAAAGTTGGATGGAAAGAGATAAAGAAAGATGTAGATGCCATCCTCTGGCCTCCACATGTGCATGCTGCAGGCGCACACGTCAACATACTACCTATGTGTGCACACGTGAACATACCACATATGTGCACACAGAGAATTTACTTTCAAAAGATACTCATGAGCTGGGCGTTGGTGGAACATGCCTTTAATCCCAGCTACTCTGGAGGCAGAGGCAGGTGGATCTCTGTGAGCTCCAGGCCAGCCTGGTCTATAAGAGCTAGTTCCAGGACAGCCTCCAAAGCCACAGAGAAACCCTGTCTCAAAAATCCCCCCCTCAAAAAAAAGGATACCCTTGAAATTAATGTTAGAAATGTTTTTATATAACTCCAATCTAAAATATTGCGTTAGTGATACTGGTATTTTGAAAATAGCTGTTGCTGCTGGCAGTGGTGGTGCATGCCTTTAATCCCAGCAGAGGCAGGAGGATCCCTGTGAGTTCGTGGCCAGCCTGGCCTATAGAATGTGTTCTAGGACCGCCAAGCCTGTACAGAGGAACTCTGTCTCGGAAAACAAAAACAAAACACAAGCAAAATAAAGTGAGCCAAGTACGATGGTACACACTTGTAATTTTATCATTCAGGAGGCTGAAGCAGAGGGAATTGCAAGTTTGAGACCCAGAACCTCTCTTAAAAACAAAAACGAAAAACAAAAAAATACTGACAAATTAAAATGTTATTTTGTGCGACTTTTTGCACGTTTTGAATTGCAGTGTGTTTTCTGCATACCTAGCACAGCCCGGTCCAGATTAGTCAACTGCAAATGTCCAGGTTGAGCTTCGAGCCATGGTTGTACAGACCCAGGGCACTCTGCTCAAGAGATGGCCTTGTGGCTTCTTGTGACTAGGCCTTAACCTTTTACCTTTATAACTCCTTCCACTCACGGCTGTGTCCAGCAGCCTTGAGGGCTGGGCATCACCTGCTGGGAATGAAAGCCACGTTAATTGTACCAGAATTGGGTTCTGCTGTTTCTCTCCTCATTGGTGGCCAGTTATGCGTGCCCTGGGGACAAATATAAGTCAGAAGTTTCATAAATGCCTAGGGCTAGGGCGAGAGGTTGGAAGGCGGAGAAATGCAAGGAATGTTTCTCTCAGGAAGGAGAGGGCGCCTGTCTTCAGAGCCGCCCACTCCTTGCCTCAACATAAGGACCACATTGCTTGGGTCTGGGAAACCACAGACGGGGTGGAAGGGAGAAACCAAGCAAAGCTTCTACTATTTCTGGTCTCCCATCCCTTTCTCCTTGGTACCCTGCCCCTCAGATGCACCTGCTGGGCAGCGGATGTTAGCCCAGGATGGGGCTTTTCCCATAAACCTTGTTCACAGGAGCAGCTCATTCCTCCATGATGATGCCATTTAAACTGGCATTCGGGTGACAAACAGTACTAAGTGACAGAGAAGTGCTTTTGAGCAAAAGATGGTGTTAGCAGTGTGGGGTGTAGGGAGATAATGTTGAGAGAACAAGGAAAGGCCTTGCCTGACTCAGCTGTGGAAGTTTGTGTCACGTTTGTCCCTTGGGGTGCCTAGGGACAGAGACAAGGTGGAGTACAGAAGCAGGTCTCATCTGTACCTGTGATGCCCCCTGGTGTGTGTATGTGTGTGTGTGTGTGTGTGTGTGTTCAACTATGCACACACACACACACACACACACTATGTGTATTCACCTACGCACACACACAAGCTGTGCCTGCTGCCCACACTGAAGGATGGTACTTTGTTGTTGCTGTTTGTTCTTAAGTAACGACTGTGGAGCCCAGTTTGGATCCCAGGTATATGAAGGCCACACCTCCAGGTATATGAAGGCCACACCTCCAGGTATATGAAGACCACACCTCCAGGTATATGAAGGCCACACCTCTTCTGTTGAGAGCCATGCAGAGTAGGGCATGTCCTTAGGGACTGTGTTTTCTCCTGGCTGTTGGGATTCCTGACAGGAGCCCTAGTCCTTATTTCTTTACTTCTTCTCAGAGACGTGCTGGGATACATGGTACTGCCACTGGATTACCTTGTGACTGGGCACGATACCACCCCTGTTGCTCAGCTCGAAGCCCTTGGTGGATGGGAAAAAAGCTGGGTGGCCCTTTCTGACCTTGTGTGATATGTGACACTTGTAACCCAGATGGGCCACTCGTGAGGAACCTCATTTCACCCAGGAAGCCATGCTCTTGAGAGAAGAGTACTAGTTTTTCCTCCCAGAGTACCAAGACTCCTGTACCAAGCCTTACTCTGACAAGGCCTCTCTTGCGATTTTCCAGGGGCCACGTGTCCTGGGGCTTCTAAGTTTCAGGGATGGTGAGGTCCCTGCCTGTGGTCCTCATGAGACTAATTTTTTCTCGTCCTACATTTGTGTTCCTGGCTTGCAAGGACTCTGTGTGCATGTGTGCGTGTGTGCGTGCGTGCGTGCATATGTGTGTGTGTGTGCACGCGCGTGCTGTGTGTGTGCGTGTGCTGTGTGTGTGTGTATATGTGTGTGGTAGAGGATGCTGGGGAAGGAGAGCCTGCTGTGTCTAATAAGCCTTCATAAGGTAAAGGGACTGTAGCTGTGGAGAGGAGCCTTAGCCTTCTCCCAAGGGCAGGGAAGGGTCAGGACAGGGGTGTCAGTCCTGACTGTCTCCCTTTCAGGCTGAAATGTGAATTAACACAAAGGCAGGGAAGGCAGGGGAGCCATCTCAGCAGGGGGAGGGAGGGGGATTCAGGGCTGGTTCTTGGTTGCCGGGACCTCAGCAGTACACGCCCTTACCATGGTGTATCACTTCCTGTGTCTCCATCTTCTTCCCACACAGTGCGCTCTCCTCCAGGTCTGGCCAAGACACCCCTGTCTGCCCTGGGTCTGAAACCCCACAACCCAGCGGACATCCTACTGCACCCCACAGGTGGTGAGTGATGGCGAGGGAGGGAGGGAGATGGCAAGGAAGGCCAGGAGACCCTGGTAGCCTGAGCAGGTGTTCTGACTAGAGGTCGCACGGCAGAGGTTTTGGGGGACCTTCCTGGAAATGAGGAGGCCGTGACTGTGAACCACACTGAAGTGATGCTTGTGGGGTTCGCTCTGCAGGCATTGGGGTGTTCTTGCCTGACACCACTTTGGTGACAGCCTCTCCCCCTACTACAGTGGCTCCTTGCTGAGCACCCTGGTGACATCAGAGGCTAGAGCTTAGGCATTTGGGTTATTCCCCCCCCACTCACAAAGTTTTGCCTGAGAAATGGGTCACGCCCAGCAGCCAACTCTAGGTCTTCTCTGCCCATAAAGGTGCCTGCTACCCAGAAGCAGACTCTGCTCATCCCTGTGTTCACATGCCCGGTGTCAGCAGCCTTTGACCCTGATGTTCAGAGTAGAAATCTGGCTCTGAGGGACTTTTTGGGCTGTCCCAAAAGGCACCTATGCTGGTTATGGGGTGGATGACCATGTTTGGGAACGGATCTGATGTGAATGAGTACCAGACCCGCCCCCCTATTTCCTGCCATTCCCAAATTTCTTTCTGTGGAGGAGGGAGACAGGTCCTGGGACTTTTAATAGCAATTTGGAGTCTGCTAAGCTAGAATGTGACACTAGTTTTAAAGCTGAGTTGGAGCTCTTGGAGGTCAACTTTTCCTTTTTTCCTTAGTCACCAGAAGAGTGATCCAGCCAGGTAAGAGGGTAGTAATATGCATTTGTGAACAATGCAGACACTGAGACACGGCCTCCACTTAGGATGCTCGAGCATGGGCAGACACACCCAGCCATCACAGAGATGAAGGGCCAGAGGCCTTCTCTCTGGCTAGCCAGCATGCCACTACCTGATATTTTCACGCAAGCCCTGGCTGCGGAGGCTGGGCGGGACCTGGCTCCTGAGTGCTTCACCATGGCCCTGCGCTCAGGGGTCCTGTGTAGAGAAGGATCTCAGCCTCCAGCCTCCCGGTCTTCAGCAAATTCTTTCTCTAAATGTAATCCTGATAACCTCTCTCTTTCTCTTTCTCTTTCTCCTCTGGGATCTTCCTCTCATCTTTATCGTCTGCCCTCTCTTCCTGCCTCTCCTCCTCTTGTCTCTCTTCTCCTCCCTCAGAGGAAGATGAGGGGGAGGAGGTGACTAAGCCTCCAGAAGGTAAGCGCACTTTGCTGTGTGTGGCTCCTGCTCTCACAGGTCTAGGGATGGCTTTTCACATGGAGCTTGACAAGGCTGCCTGGGGATGGATCCCTTTCCTCACCTGCTCTCAAGTGACTAGGCACATAGCCTTCCCGTCCCCACCCTCTGACAATGAGACGCCATTCTGGGCACTGCCTGAATGCTGCCTGGGAAACTTGTTGCCCCTGGGCACCAGTTCAGGCACAGCTAGTGTCCAGGCGCCAGCATGGTGCCACCTTGTTGACAAAAATACCCCTTGTGCCACTTCCTCTCCCGGGGCACACGTACCGCCTGGCTGGTGTCCGTGCTCACAGAGGCAGGCAGGGAGGGGCAGAGAGCAGGCCTTCCCTCACTTGGCCACTCAGGCATTTAAGCCTGTGCAGGTCCTGTGCTCTGAAGGTGTACAGTTGGCTTCCTTTTGCTGGGTGTTGGAGGCACTGGTGTCAGTTTTTGTTTTGTCTTTTTGTTGTTGAATTTTTTCAGTCAGGGTTTCTCTGTGGCTTTGGAGCCTGTTCTAGAACTTACTCCATAGACCAGACTGGTCTGGAACTCGCAGAGATCCACCTGCCTCTGCCTCCCAAGTAATGAGATCAAAGGCGTGTGCCAGTACACCTGGCTCAGTGTCAGTTTTTGGTATGAACTGGCTTTTTTTGTATCTCTGTAACAGTGACCTGACAGGGGGACTCGGTAGACAGCGCCCGGAGGATTGGTTTGTTTGGGTTTATGGACGAAGAGATTTCAGTCCCTATGACAGGAACGGCATGGTGGGGCAGCCTTTGGTGACAGTGGGAGCGTGTGATGAAGGCTGTTCATTTCATTGAAGACTAGGAAGCAGAGCCAGAGGCAGGAATCAGGGGTGGCCTTTCTCTACAACAGGCCACCCTTTGATGGCTTAGTTTTCCACATCCTGTTGGTTCCACAGCCTCCCACAGTAGTGCCAGCAGCTGGGGACTGAGCGTTCAAACACAAGTCTGGGAGGGACTTTGCAGGTCCAACCCTAATGGGACAGTGTCGCTAGCTTAGAGCCCCTGCCGCAAGGTAATGCAGGAAGAGTATCTTTCTGAAAGCCAGGCACCTGTGGCTTTGCAGGCTGGTTAGGGGCGCACGCCCTCAAAAGTGCCTCAGGACACCCATGCTCAATTCTGAGAAGCACTTGCTTTCCTTATCAAAAGATAACTTTATTTATAAAGATTTATTACATTGGTGTGTGTGTGTGTGTGTATGTGTGTGTTCTCGCGCACGCCTGCACAATGGGTACATGAGTGTCACAGTATATGTGTGGAGGTCAGGGGAATCCATTTTCTCCTTCTGCCATGCCTGAGTGAGGGCTTGGATTTAGGGACTCAGACTTGGTGGCGAGCACCTTTACGCACTGGTCTGCCTCACTGCTTGAGAAATACTTTCAGTGAGTTCACAGTTGATCTCAGCTTTGAGGCCAGCCTAGCCCTGGCTTTGGAGGAAGCCTGGCATTGGGTCTGGAAGGAAGAGAGGCTGTGATCTGGTAGAAGCAGGGTAGCTCAGGAGGGCAGAAGTCCAACAACAACTCATGGTGGTCATGGCCTCAGGGACACTGGCCTAGGTGGCTCCCATGTGTCCCTGGGCATGGGTGTCATCATCTCCTCAGGATATGTTAGGCAGGTGAGTCCAAGGTCCCTCCAGCTGTGTGATGTCGGATGTTCCCACCTCGGCCCCGTGGTTCTGTGTGGCTGTCTCTATAGGGGCTTAGTTTGGTTTTCTTAGGCCCACTTTCCTCTGCACCAAATGCCTTGGTTTCTGCCCCAGCATGGGTATGGCCCTGCTGACTTTTCATTCCAGGTGTGGTGCTCATGGCTTCCCAGAAGCTTCACTATGTTTTTGTGTTTTATGTTTTTAATTAATTATTTTATATTTTATATTTATTTATTTTATGCATATGAATATTTTGCCAGTGTGGATGCACTTGTGCGCCTGGTACTTGTGGAGGTCAGGAGAAGGTGTGGGACCCCCTGGATCTGGGGTTTCTGGTGGTTATGAGACACCCTGTGTGTGGTGGGAATTGAACTCAGGTCCTCTGGAAGAACAAGTGTTCTAGAGTGCTGAGCCATCTCTCCAGCCCCTGTGTGGAGGCTGCAGATCTGAGAAGTTGGGGGTCAAGGCTACTCTCTGCCAACCTCATGCAGAGGACATGCTTTCTCCAGATTGCTTCCCACAGCCTCAGTGCCTGTCAGCCAGAGAGGCTCAGGCCCTGAGTGTGGGTGTCTAACTCAGTACATGCATGGGCTGTCAGACTCCGGGGAGAAAGTTACCAGGTAGGAGGAGTCCAGGCTCCGGGAGCTGTGTTCTGCTTCTGGGTGGCTGTTCAGACGAGTGAATATTGACAGAGCTGAAGTGAGACCTCCTAAGTGTGCTTCACCAATGACTCTCCACTTACGTGGCCTTCAGTCTCCTTACCCTTCACCCATCCTTGTATCAGAACAGAGGAATTCTGAAGGCAAGCTTTCTCGAGGCCCACCCAGCCACGCCTGTGCTTTCAAGGAAGTGTAACTAAGGTCTGGGTTACGGTGGGGCGAGGGACCCACCCAAGTTCACAACCAAGAGGCGGTCGGGCCAGACTGCATTTCTGGGCCTCCTGTTTCCTAGTCAAAGGGCCCTGTCTAAGCCCACCCCTGTTTCCAGGCTTGGTGGCCTGGGCTTCCAGCTTGAGAGTGGGCGGGGAGGGCATTAAGGCTGGGGTGCCAGCTGAACAGTTCTTACTCAGGCGCCACCTCCTGGGTCAGCCCAGGCCACATTCTTTGTTGACCCTTGGATGCTGCGCTTGATGTTCTTGCTGATACTTTGATGGGAAATTCAGAAAAAGAGGCTTGTCAGGAAAAAGCATCAGTGGCAGGATTCTTCAGCTGGGGAAGGAAGAATCCGAGGGATGTTCGCTCTGTTCAAGCCATCGGGCTAAATATATTCATGCATTCTTTTCTTCATTGATGCATGGAGCCAGTCGCTGTGCTGCGGGCCTGTTACACAGCAGGCAACGGGCCAGTCCCTGGGGAGATAAAAGACTGGAAAAGTGTCTTAAACTCACGAATGTGTCATGAATAACAACAAGAATTATGTATGGAGGGAGGGGGCACAGCCTTGTGACACCTTAGACAAAAGAAGCTAATTGGGGTGGATGTGCATGTGAGGTGACATTAACCTGGTGAAACCTGGGTACAAAATGGAGACGAGGGAAATGGCACACATGGGCTCTGGCCTTGGACATCATAGCTGTGTGTGTGTGTGTGTGTGTGTGTGTGTGTGTGCACGCGCACGCGCATCAGAAGTTAATGTGGGGTAGCTTCCTCTGTTGCTCACCACCTTACGTTTTGGGACAAGGTCTCACACTAAACTTGGAGCTCATCATTTTGGCTAAGCTGGCTGGTCAGTGAGCTTCAGGAATCCTCCTGTCCCCATCCCCCTTCCTTCTCTCCCAGTGCTGGGGTTGCAGACATATGCCACTGCCCCCAGATTTTATGTGGGTGCTGGGATCCAAACTCAGCAAGCATGTCACCTCCTAAGCTATCTCCCCAACCCCCAGATTGTTTGCCTCCCCCCACCCAGAAACTTAAAACCAAGAAGACCAGTGTATTGAGCCAGAGCATGTGTGTTTGTGCATGTGGTCTGGAGTAAGGTCAAACAGTCAAGAGCCAGGCCATGTGGGGACCCCTGTCACATTGTCTCTTACTGTTCATAACAGCTGAGAGGAAGGTGGTATGGACTCCATTTTATCAACGGGGATGGGGTTAGATGACTTAGCAGCCTCATAGAAACCAGGGGCAGAGCTGAGAATCTGTGTTTCGGCATGTGGAGACTGCCCCTTCTGGTGGATACACATAGTACAAGGGGCACCAGAACATCTGGACAGAGCCCTTCTCTGGCAGGGAAGGAGAGAGAAGGCCATGGTGGACTTTAGGAAGGCTTTCCATGCCAGGTTCTCTTTGTCTCCAGTGGTTCTGCGTGGACAGATTTGGCATAAAGGAAGACGCTGGACTCTGGGGACTTTGATACCTCTGAGATTCTTGGTGATGGTGTTTGGGGGCGTCCAAACAGGGGACCGGGTACAGAGTTGTCCAGCACCCACCATGCACCAGGCCCCGTGTTAGGGACTGAAGGTCTAAGGATGGGTGAGGTACCTGGGGAGGATAGAGATCTTACCATGAGGCAGAAGGTCTGATCAGAGATATGGAGAGGTGCTTGGGGGCTTGGAGGGGGCTACATGTGACCCACTCCTAACCCTGGCTCTAGGAGTTTCCTCCCTTTTTCTTTCTGCAGCACCCATGTCTTCAGTATTTCATTTTTGTATGTATTTATCGTGGTCTGGATCGAACCCAGGACCTTGCACACTTTAGACAAGTGCTGTACCACAGAAGCCTTCTCCCCACCCCGGGTGTCCATCTTATTAGGGTGGGTGATGCTGGCCCCCTCCTTCAGCCAGATCTCTTTTCCCAGTGAGGTGATGTATTCGAGAATGTGGGTGAGGAGCTGGTAGTCCCCGGCTGAGGAGTCAAGTCACCCGTGTGTTCCCTTGCTCTCAGCTGCCAGCAGCCACTTGGAATGGTTTGGGCTCCTGGAATGTTCTCCGTGCAGCACCCTCCCTGGCTCCACTTCTCCTGCCCTCCCCAGCTTGGTGGCCTGTAGGTCAGCTGCTCCCTAGGAGACGAGAAGAGGAGTTGTGACTCTGCACCCTCACCCCAGGAAGGGAGTGTGCGAGGGTGGGGGGAGGTTGAGGTCAAAGGCCAGTGTAGGCCAACCAGAACTGCCAAGAGCTAAAAGGACATGTCCTTTCTCACATGCCTCCATCCTAGGCAGGTGAGGTGTTTTTATCCCAGGTTTACAGGGAAGTGAAGTCGGCACTCAGCTGGAACAGAATCACCATCTAGGTTGATTGGGCGTGGCTATGTTCCGGTTGTGATCTTTCTCTTAGCTTTCTGTTGGCAGAATATGGACTTTTATTTTTTTTTCCCCAAGACAGGATTTCTCTGTGTAGCTTTGTAGACCAGGCTGGCCTCGAACTCATAGAGATATGCCTGCCTCTGCTTCCTGAGTGCTGGGAATAAAGGCATGCGCCACCACTGCCTGGCAGAATATGGACTTTTAAAACTGAGAACTTAGCGTAGAGTGTGGCGCTTACCTAATGTGTGGGCTGAGGTCTTGGCAGATGTGCATGGTTCATTCCAGCAGTGCGACTGAAAAATCTGGACAAACAAGAAAGGGTGTGAAGCCCTGTGGGCTCCCTAGCAGGGGTGGGAGCTGTCCCTACCCACCCAGAAGGAGCTAGTACAGCTGGGGATAAATAGAGGATGGGCTATAACCCCATCTTCTCTGTCCCTCCACCCCTCTGCCCCTTCCTCCTCCTCACCCTCCCTCCCCTGCCATACAGACCCAACCACTCCAGCCAAAGGCCAAAGCAGTCATAGGGCACGGGGCCTGGGGGTAAGTAGGTAAAATGTAGCCACTAGGGATGCAGATAAGGATGGAGTCGGGGAGGGTAGGAAAGTGAGTCATAGTGCCGCCAGTGTAGGCTTCATTCAACCTGGCTTTCAGGGAGTAAAGATGGCAGAGTTCATGTGTTGGATCTGACTTCTTACACGAGGTAATGTCTGGATGGGGTTGGGAGGGAGGGGCATGTGGCTATGAATCTGTGAGACAGACACACAGAATCTTCTGTGCCAGGTGCTGTGGCTGGTGCCAGGAGCCTTTGTCAGGCCTGTGGGTAGCAGGGCTCTCTGTGTGAGAGAGGAGCTGTGCTGAGCACCTCGAAGGGTCTGGGGGATGTCCAGAGGGACAGCCACTGGCTTCCCAACCTCGCATGGCCTTATGACCTGTGAGTAACGGCTGGATGGAAGACTGTCTGGCTGGATACCTATTGCCACCTCTGCCTCATACTGGCTGGGTACTTCTGCTCTCAAATCTTACTAAGCTTATATGACTCTTGGCTGGTTTTACCACTATGGGTGACCCTGTGGATCTGGCATTCCTCTGGCTCATGTGTGTTTGGTGTCCCCATGAGACTAGGGGACCTCTTAGACCAGCCAGAACCTATATTGTAAGGTTGGAGACAGCCATTGGCTGGCTTTGTGTCGTGGGCAAATCGTTCCCCTCCTCTGGGCTGAGGGGACAGGTTAGATCACAGCCAGCACAAACTGAATGCTGACAAATCCACCTGCTACCTGTTTCCCTAAAGAAAATTCCGTTGCAAACAGCTGCCCTGTTCATTTAGCTGTTGTTTGCTGCCGCCATCTCCATGGTGGCTGGGTGGAGTGATTGCGACAGAGACCATCAGACCATCCCACCTAAGCTATTTACAGAGGCTCTGACCAGGCCTGCAGCATAGCACCTCATGGCATCTGCACCTCCACAGGGCCGGGGCCTGGGAAGACCAGAGTCCAAGCCTTCTATGTCAGGTCAGCCTGGGAATCCTTTGAAGTGAGTGTAGCTGGAGCCGCTTGAGGGAGGCTTTGCTGGCTCTCCCCACGTGCTCAGTCCCAGCCCAGCGTGTCCACGTGTCTGCTCCTACAGACCAGGGGCTGGGTGTGGACGTTGAGCAGCCTTCTGTGGAGCATGGTATCTGGACATCCCAGGTAACTTCTCCCAAGCCAGGTTGTCCTCCAGCTGGGGAAGCAAGCTTTCAATTTAGTTACCTCCACTTTCTTTCATCTGCTTGTCCCAGAGAACCTGGGGAGGGCTCTCCTCCTACTCAGGCTAACACAGTCCTGGCCCTCAGGGGCTGCAGGGCCCGGTTGTCCCAGGTGGGCACTATTTACCAGGCTAGCTTTGGTGAATTTTCTGGCTGTGGTCGCTAGGGATCTGTGTTCAGATCTTGTTCCTCTGGGACAACAACGATGGTGACAGGGTCCTAGGTGTGGGCAATGACATCCACCTCCTCCATGTGATCGTGTCCCTGGAGAAACCGAGAACCCTGATCCTTGTCTGGTTAGTATAAGGCCAGCCTCTGAGGTCATGGGGGCCTGGGTCCAACATGCCTGGTCATTTTACTCTTCAGGTCTCAATCTTCTCATCTGCCAAATGGCCTTACTGTTGCTAATGTTACTCTGAACACTGGGTTGGAGTTAATGTGTATGAAGCCCCTCTCTGTACGGGGCCTGGTGTGCTGGTTGTGCTGTAATGGGCACAGAATGTCTGGGTCCACCCAGGCACAGGGTTCTCTGCTTCAGTCTTCTAAGGAATGCTGAGCGTGTTGTGTAGAAGTGGGTGGGGTGTCTCGCCAGTAAGGGGCTGGTGAGTCTTCAGTGGCTGCCTTGGGTGTTGCTGGACGAGCAAGCTGGGTGCTATCCAGAAATGTGTGCAGAGCCAGGTGATAGCTTTGGGATTGCTCTAGGAGCCCGGGCATCTGGGGACCCTGGTAGGACTGGGCAGAAATAAGGCTGCACAAGCGATGCCAGCCATGGACAGGCATCCAAGTCCTTCGGGGAAGACGCAGATGGCCCTCCGCAGAGGTAGAAGAGAAGCAAAGACTTCTAGAAGCCAGTTCCCCGTAAAGCTTGCCTCAGGCTGGGGAGTATGGGCCAAGGACAGCCTCGGTAAAGCACCCCCAGAGTCTTGTGGAGGGTTTTCAGGCTGCCTCTTTCCCAGGCTGGACTCTGGGGGTGCTGTATTCCCTGGCAGGGTGGGTGGATTCCTGCCACACCTTGTTCATTCATTGTCCCTTTACTTCTTCCAGAGCCCCGGAGCTATGTGGAGTCTGTGGCGAGGACAGCGGTATCAGGGCCTCGAACTCAGGATGTCGAGCCCAAGAGCCTCAGTGCCCCAGCTGCCCATGCCTATGGACATGAGACACCCCTGAGGAACGGGACCCCGGCTGGCTCCTTTGTCTCCCCCAGCCCCCTTTCCACGAGCAGTCCCATCCTCAGTGCTGACAGGTAAGCCAGGAATGGGGAGTGCAGGATGAGAATCGGCCTGAGGCTCTGTGTAGATGGGCCAAAGCCCATCCAGATTGCTACACTTTGAAGGTCTTTCCCAAGGCCTCGGGGAGAGCATTTCTGGGCATTCAACCTGAGGGAGCCAGGGTGATGGGCAAGGCTCCCAGGCTGTGCTCCATTCCACCCGAGCGAAAGGGACCAGTGAGCCGTCCTTCCTGTCTGATAACCTAGTGCGCAGGAAGCTCCACGCCGGCAGCAGGCTGCTCTCCTCGGAGCTTCCGACTGTTATCTACTTTTTGTAGCAGTCCCAAGAGCTAAGTTTTGCTGCTCCCACGTCTCAGAAGAGACAACTGAGGCTCAAAGGGGCAGTGGCTGAGCAGTGGTACAAACAGGCTTCAACCTATGGGTGTATGTGTCTGGAGGTCATATCTCTTTCTCACGCCCTTCCACCGACCTGAGTGATTTGTATGGACAAGAGCCACCTGTGCCCTGCACTGGACCAGAAACAGAGTGCTTAGGGTACAAAGCAGGGGTGGGGACTTCTAGCCAGGCAGGTGGAGAGGACGTTGAAGGATGATGGTATAGCAGGAACCCAGAAGGATGACAGGATGTCTTAGGGTGAAGATGTAGGTCCAAGGGACAGAGAACCAGGGTGTGTATAGGCACAAGAGCAGCTCAGAGCATGTAACCCACCAGGGAGGAGCGTCTTGGTGTCCAGACACTACTCATAACCTCCCTGAGCCAGACAGGGAGGGAATCCCAGGGCGGGGTAGTTGAGGGCCAACCCTTCAGCAGAATTCATGCTTGGGGTACGCTAGGGAGCTGTGAGGATGGGTGGTGAGAATGAGGTTCCATGGTATGGCTGGGAAAACACAGGGAAAGAGGTTGAGGTGGAATTGGGCAAGGCCTAGAGACAGTGCCAGGCACGGGGAGGACAGGACTAGCAAACACTAGCAGGATCTCTCCTGTTCTGTCCTGGAACCCACTCCCCTCCGTGCGGGGATCGCCATGACCTTCAGGCTCCCAGGCTTTCCTCCCTCGCCATGGTCAGGCTGCTGCTCACACCCACACTGGCCCTGCCCAAGCTGCAGGGAGATGAGCAGAGATGTTCCCTCTGGGTCCTCATTCCGAACCTTCCAGCTAGGCACACTCCCCTGCACACACCCAGGCCACCTTTCCTCCATAGCCCTTCCCTTCCCAAGGGGCAGGCTGCCTGTTCCAGGGGTGGCGTGGTGGCAGGGGTCCAGTTCTCGCATTTTCCCTGGCTTCCTGCTCATACTGCTTCTGCACTCAACCGGCTCTTTTGCAGGGTTCTGGAAACTCACGTCTGAAGCCCCAGAACGCCACCATAGCACCCTCACTCTCATCCCCACCCTTCACCTCTGCTCAGCAGGGCATCCCCACCCTTCACCTCTGCTCAGCATGCTCATCCCCACCCTTCATCTCTGCTCAGCACGACACAGCCTGCTACAGTTCCGCTTCATCGCAATCTCATTTATTCCCGTGTTCTTCCTGGCCGTCTCCCTGCCCCTGCCTCTTGCTGGCCCTGGCGCACAGCTTCTTGAACCTGGGGTGCTGGGCTCTGTAAGGATCTTTCTTTCCCTGGCACTGCCAAGCGTCGGCTGCCTTTCTCGACTGACTGCTTACCCTGGTCCCTTGGCAACCCTGTTCCTTTCCATCTCATCACACATGGGCGGAGCTTTGGGTGGACTAGCCTGTGCTTGCATCACAGGAACCTCACGACCACGCACAGGCAGCTTGTGCCATCAGTGACCAGACTGGGGGTGCTGAAGACAGACCTCCAAGTGAGCTGAGATCTCCCGACTTCTTGTGCCCTCTCTATGTGATTCTGTTTCTTTGCCTTTTGGAGTCACCTAGGAGTGAAAGCCTAATTTTAGCACTCTGGGGAGGATGATAAAACACCTAGGGGAACTGAGTCCAGTTGAGCCCTAGTAGAAATGGAGTCAGGTGACTTGACCATCTCTAAGTTTCTATGGTGCTAAGGGCTTTTACCGGGACAGCTGCCTTCAGTTTCTCTGGTGATTGCTTTGCTATGACTCACGGGTCAGGAGTCAGCACGGCTGGTAAGGAAAGCGTGGGTTTTGGAGTCAGATGCAGCTGACTTGAGACCTGGCCTTTAAGACCTCTGTGGTAATGAGCTTACTGCTTAAACTCTCTGCCCCTCAGCTTCTTTTTCTGATGGTTCCATTATCCAATGTATAAAAGCCCCAACTTCCTCCACACTGAGTGGAGCTCTTATTGCTCTTAGTGGTTGAAGGATATTGGCCACTCAGCAAAAGTCTATTCTTTGTTAAACATCACCCACTGACCTTCATACCTGCCATCTCTCTCTAGCACTTCCGTGGGCAGTTTCCCATCAGGAGGGAGCAGTGACCAGGGCCCACGGACACCCATCCAGCCCATGCTGGATTCCAGCATCCGCTCAGGTAGCCTGGGGCAGCCGAGTCCTGCAGCACTGAGTTACCAGAGCTCCTCACCTGTCCCGGCTGGTGGCAGCAGCTACAGCAGCCCTGACTACTCCCTTCAGCCATTCGGCTCTTCTCCAGAAAGCCAAGCCCAGCCACAGTTCAGTGTGGCCACTGTCCACATGGTGCCTGGGAGTCCTCAGGCACGACACAGGACAGTGGGCACCAACACTCCACCTAGTCCTGGCTTTGGCCGGCGGGCTATCAACCCCACTGTGGCTGCCCCTGGTAGTCCCAGTTTGAGCCACCGACAGGTGATGGGTCCGTCTGGCCCTGCTTTCCATGGTAATGTGGTTTCTGGCCATCCAAGTAGTGCAGCGACCACTCCTGGAAGCCCCAGCTTGGGCCGGCACCCACTGGGAAGTCACCAGGTTCCAGGCCTCCACAGCAATGTGGCCACCACTCCAGGAAGCCCAAGCCTGGGCCGACACCCTGGGGCCCACCAAGGGAACCTGGCCTCTAGTCTCCATGGCAATGCAGTCATTAGCCCTGGGAGCCCCAGCTTGGGACGGCACCTGGGTGGATCTGGATCTGTGGCTCCTGGAAGCCCCAGCTTGGACCGGCATGCAGCTTATGGTGGCTATTCTACCCCCGAGGACCGACGACCAACTCTGTCCCGGCAAAGCAGTGCCTCTGGCTACCAGGCTCCTTCCACACCTTCATTCCCCGTCTCTCCTGCCTATTATCCTGGCCTGAGCAGCCCTGCCACCTCACCCTCGCCAGACTCAGCAGCCTTCCGGCATGGGAGCCCCACACCGGCCTTGCCAGAGAAGCGGAGAATGTCCATGGGAGACCGGGCAGGCAGCCTCCCCAACTATGCCACCATCAATGGGAAAGTGTCCTCCTCACCCATTGCCAATGGAATGTCCAGTCACAGTGGGAGCAGTACAGTCTCCTTCTCCCACACTCTTCCAGACTTTTCCAAGTACTCCATGCCAGGTGCGTCTCTTTACAAGTTTACCCTCCCAAGAGTTAGGGCATCTGTCCTAGCTATCCCTTGGAAGATGACCTTGGTTGGGTCACTGACTTCTGAATTCGTTGCCTGTAGTGGGAGTTGCATCTTTTTAAAATGTGGCTGGGGATGGGGTTGTTGGGATGAAGGTGTACAAGACAAAGAGGATGGACTACTAAGCATGGACGGTATGCTCTTCAGATGGCTGTCACCGTCTAGCCTCCTGGTGAGCACATGCTGTGTGGTAGCCTGAGCTAAGTACCCATTTAATCCTCTAGACCCCCTGGGGAAGTAGGTAATTAGCTTTGCTTTATATAGGAACACTCTAAGGCTCACAGAGCTTCTGTTGCTTGGCTGGCATTATATGGTTACTCAGTGACAGAGCAAACTTCTAATCTAGGCCCATTCTACCCCAGATGAATGCTCTTGGGACAGGGGAGATGGCACTCACTGTACCAACATGAGGAGCTGAGTTTGGATCCTGAGAACCCACGTAAAACTGAATGCAGTCGTGAATGTTTACACTCCTGTGGTGGAGTGAGGAATGGAGACAGGAGATTGCCCAAAAGCTTGCAGGCCAGCTAGCCTGGCATATGCAACAGTGAAGAAGAGGTCCTGCCTCAGACAAGGTGGAAGGCACGGACTGACTCCCAGAATTGTCCTCTGACCTCCACATGCAGGCTGTGGCACGGGCATGCACACACTCACGCATGCACTCATGCATGATAGGAATGTCTTCAGCATGTATTCATTATTTGAGGGGTTCTGTGATTTAACTGAACTTTGAGACTCAGCTATCCTGGACCTCTAAGACTTTTGTCAGCCGCACACATCAGTTGACAGTGGACCAGGTGGGCCAGGGTAAAGGCTAAGGGTGAGATGTTTTAGCAGAGCCTAGTTTCCTTCCTGAAGGACAAGTGCCTCATCCAAGTTAGTTTTGATGTCTTTGCTTCCATGGAGACAGCTTATTCTCCAAACATAAAGTTCAAGGCTGCAGGTGACCTGCACCTTCTCAATCAGACCTTGATCCTGTGTGCAGACTCCCTGAAGCTACTTGTGTCTAAGGAAGATACAGAAAATTATAAACAGCCTGGGGTGGCCCTGAGGCACCCAGAGTCTCTGAGTCCTGTGTCCTTCCCAGGCCCTTCCAAGCTGGGACACTTAGAGTGACCCTGCACTCCCCTGCTTCCTGCCACCTACTAGGGACATCTGGTTCCCAGTCCTGATCCTTGAAGGATGCGAAGTTTCTAGTAGTTAGGACACTTCCTGTTTCCCACCATCTTGCCTACTTAAAATAGCCTTTGGAGTCAACACAGGAAGGCTCACAGGACTAGAGCTGCTTCTGACAGCTACTTAGATCAGCCATGGCTGGGCTTCAGAGGAGGGCCAGGCGCCTGCTGCTCATGCATTCTTTAGCTGCCTAGCCTGGGAAAGGAGCTGAGTTTCCTCAGGCCATAGGAGATAGAGCCCAGGTGCCCATGAGAACCAAGGTCCTTGGCTGCATCTGCAGGGTCCTTCTCTCCTAACTTGGTAGCACCTTCAACACTGTGTCCCCTGCTTCAGTCTCTCACAAAGGACTGGGGAACTGTGAAAGCAGATTCCCCCCTTTTCCTTCTTCCTGCCCCCGCCGCCCTTTGTTTTTTTTTTCTGCTTTGGTCTGAAGGGTGAAAGAATGCCCATAGAAAGCAAAGCTAAGTTCTGACACTCCACTGCATGACTCAGTGATTGTAATTCAAAATAATAGTAAGTATTTTATGAAGAACCAAGGTTGAGGACTTTGGAGGCTCAGATAAAGACATCATGATAAGGAGCCAGGCACTATAACACTCATATATAGTCCCTGCACTGGGAGGAAGAGACTGGAACATGCCAAGCCCAGGGAAATGCCACAGTTGGACTCAATGATGTCCAGTCCCCCTACACAATGTAGTGTTCTCAGAAAGAGCGACTGAGTAGGGATATCATCTGGCTATGTGTGACACCCTGTATAGATGGCCACTAGAGTAGTGACCATTCCTTGGTCTAGATGTTAGAGGATGGGAGTGACTTCTGACCATGCTGATAAAGAATGCCACTTTCAGTGTGGGGATCAACTGGGGATGGGCCACAGGAGAGAGATGTAGGTCTTCTTGTCCCCTGTTCATGGATATCAGGCTGAGCTTGGGAGGCAAAGCACAAGCAGGATATGCCAACCTGTGGGGTGGAAGTGGAGAGGAATTAGCTCAGAATCATCTAGGCACAAAGAGTGGGGTGGGGAAGGGCTTTTCACCAGCTCAGTGGATGCCTAGCCAGGTCCTTTAACCACAGAATGACCAGGCAGCAGTGATGGCCTGCAGGAGAAAGGCTGGGGGAGAAGGCTACTGGATACCTCCCACCATGTTCTCTGATGTTTGAGCATCTAGCTTTCTGATGTATTTCCTGGGGCCAGCACACACTTGGTAGCGTAGAATAATAGAAGTAGACTCTGTCATACCAAAGGCCAGAGATCAAAATCCTGGTGTGGGCAGAGACTCAGACGGATGCTTCTGATGATGTGCTCTGTGTCTTCAGACATTCCCATAGTCACCTGGTGCTGTCCCCATGTGTTTGCTGTCTCTTCCCTACTTTAAAAGATACTCGTCGTGTTGGATGAGGTCTCACCCAGTCTGGCATGCCTTTGTCGAAATGTGATTACATTCACAAGGACCCTCTTTTCAATAAGGCCACATTTGTAGGTTTGGGGTGTTAGGGTATTAGCATCTTTTGGGGAAGGTTTGGGGTGTTAGGGTATTGGCATCTTTTGGGGAAGGTTTGGGGTGTTAGGGTATTGGCATCTTTTGGGGAAGGTTTGGGGTGTTAGGGTATTGGCATCTTTTGGAGAAGGTTTGGGGTGTTAGGGTATTGGCATCTTTTGGGGAGCATGCAATGTGACTGTAACACTGTCCTTTCGTTTCCTCCTTCAGACAACAGTCCCGAGACACGGGCTAAAGTGAAGTTTGTCCAGGACACTTCCAAGTATTGGTACAAGCCTGAGATCTCCAGAGAGCAGGGTGAGTTGGGGACAGCATTGTTGGTTTGGTGGTCCATCAGAAGACATCCGTGGAGTCCCGCTCAACATGTCCACCTTGGGAAAGAACTCGTTCCTCCATGCAGTAGATGGTGGTCATAGGAGGCTGGGTTTAGAGTCAGACTGGAAAAAGCACTTCCCATGTAAAGCTGGGGGGGGGGCGTCCAGAAGCAGAGTCTTGGAGTGGTCTAGCAAAGCCTTGGCTTTCCCAGACAAAGTAAAAGGTCAATCAAGGGCATCTGAAACTGTGATACAAAAATTATCATTATTATTATACAAGGAAAAAACAAGTTTGGAATGTAGGCCTGAAGGTGAGCCCCACCCCATGGTCTCCAGGAAAGTCCATGTTATGGAATGAGGGTCGGAAAGGAGGACCTACAGGTCCATTCTTTTTTTGTAAATGAAGTTACAGACCAGTCACACTTGCCAGTCACACACTGTCTGCTTCCTGTCACGGCCCTGTGCTGAGTAGTGGCTGCAGATGGCATGACCTCCAACAATGGCCCTCTCTGACCATCTGCAGAAGACATTTGCCTTACTTGGTACAGGAGGGCCCTCTGGAGTGCTTACTTACACCAGGCCATTGAGAAATGTCATCTCAAGAGAGAAGAGCAAGTCCTCCAGACCCATGGGACTCAAGCCAAGCCAGTGCCACCGATTTCTTGATGGCTCTTCTCTTCTGTCACCTCTCATTTCAGCCATTGCACTCCTAAAGGATCAGGAGCCAGGGGCCTTCATCATCCGTGACAGCCACTCCTTCCGAGGGGCCTATGGGCTGGCCATGAAGGTGTCCTCACCCCCTCCAACCATCACTCAGCAGGGCAAGAAAGGTAGTGTCTCCCCCCCCCACCCCCAAGGCTGGGTTTCTTGATTTCTTCAGACCTTTGAGTACTGAACCGGGTCCTAACTCACCAGGAAATGGTCCCTGAGAGACTGGAAAAAAGCGAGTGGTGCTTTTGTGACAGCAGACTGTTGGAACTTGGTGTGTGTGTGTGTGTGTGTTTCCTGAAGGGATGGAAGAGGAATGTAGCAGGCCTTCTTTTGGGCCAACAACCAGCTCCCATATAAAGACACAGAGACTTAATATTAGTTATGGATGCTCAGCCTTAGCCCTTGTCTGTCCCCCTAGCTCTTGTAACTTAACTTAACCTGTTTTTCTTCATCTATGTTTTGCCTTGGGGCTTTTTACCTTTCTTTCCTTCTGTTACCTTACTCTGTGTCTAGCTGGTGTCTTCCTCTCTTTCTCCCTAATTCTCTCTTCTCTTTTTCTCTCCTCTCTCCTCTCAAGCCTAGATTCCTCCTCCTACTTATTCTCTCTGCACTCCAGCCCCACCTATCCCCCTACTGCCTAGCTATTGGCCATTCAGCTTTTTATTAGACCAATCAAGTGCCTTAGGCAGGCAAGGTAAAACAGCAACACATCTTTATAGAATTGAACAAATGCAGCATAAACAAATGTAACACACCTTTACACAGTTAAAGTACTTTGCTGTAATATAAATAAATGTAATACATCTTTGTATAGTTAAAGTAATATTCAGCAACATAAACAAATGTAGCACATCTTTACATAGTTAAAGTAATATCCCACAACAGAGGAATGAGTGGTGATCCTCATTCCACAGGACTCTAGCCATCACAGGACTCAGTAGCCTCTCCCATAGCATCCTACACACTGCAGAAGTTACGAGACAGTGTTGGGAGGGTGCTATGACAATGAGTGATCAATACTGTCTGTTCTTCTCTGTTCCAGGAGACATGACCCATGAGCTGGTGAGGCACTTCCTCATAGAGACAGGCCCCAGAGGAGTCAAGCTCAAGGGCTGTCCCAATGAGCCAAACTTTGGTGAGCATCCTGGCTTGTCATTATAATCCCGATCCTCAGGGGGTCTGACCCAAATTCTTTCTGTATTACTGCTGCCAGTCCTACTGGGCTTGACTTTGGCCGAAGGGGGGAACAGCTACTGTTTTTATAAAGTTTTATTGAGACCCGGCCACACCTCCTAGTTACATACTGAGTACTGTGGCTCCTCCACTCTCCAGGTCTCTTTCTGTGTTTGTCTTGCTCAGTTGAGGCCGACTGTCAGTATATTAAAATAACAGGAATAAGAAGGCCTGTCCTTCTTGGCTACTTATTATGTGAAAGTCACTATCTAGGTGTCACGTTATTCTGGTGTCATTAGCAGTCCTGCACAGTAGCTGTCAGTCTCCTCATTTTGCACATGAAGAATGTGTAAGTGTTGCTTAGGCTCTCTAAATAAGCAACAGAGCTGGGATTTTATGTCACAGTTCTCCTACTGCACTCTTCTGACTCTAATTGAAAGGACATAGGGGACATGGCTGTCAAGGAAAGTAGGTAGGTCCCTTGGAATTCCCAGCGTTAAGTAGGGCAGGTGTTCAATATTGTTGGTGGGGGTGGTGATGAAGGAGCTAGAGGTTGGGGTGCGGCTCAGGCCCCAGGTTTGAGCCCTAACACTGCAAAAAAGAAAGCATGCGACAGATACTGGGAAGGCTGGATGGGGCGGGGTTCCTTAGTCCCCTTTCCAGTCTGTCTTAGTCACCCTTCTTGTGCTGTCTCTCCTCACAGGCTCCCTGTCTGCCCTGGTCTATCAGCACTCCGTCATCCCACTGGCCCTGCCCTGCAAACTGGTTATTCCCAGCCGAGGTAGGAGATGCTCCCTCATGCTGTCTGCCCAGAATGAAGCCACGGTGGAGGCAATGCAGGGAGCCCCTCCCCCATCTTCTAAGTTTTTTAAAAAGGAAGTCGGTCACTAAAAAGCTTAACTCCAAGGATACCCATTAATTGCCGGATTGTTCTGTAAAATATTCTAGTGGTTTAAAAAAATTCACACTGAATTCTCAGAAGAGGCCTTATTCTCAGGACGGAGACAGTTACACGGGGATTATACCCTGGTACATGAGAGAACTTCTAATGTCAGTTGGCTGTTTGATACATTGAATTATTAATAACCATTGGCCAACATTATTAGCTTAAAGGTTCAAATGCAACTTCAGTAACATTAGTAACCACACAATTTAGACACTAATTCAATTATACTTGTATGGAATTTACAAAAGCGTTTGATATTTAAATCATATAAATGGCGGCTCTCAGAGTACAGTGCTTGGAACTGGTGCAGCTATCCTGGGAACTTGCTAAAATCCAGGTATTTTCAAATTTGTCGGAAACTCTGGGTCAGAGCCAGACCTGGGGTTGTCTGCAGACCTCTGGCCTTAGCAATGCAGGAAGCTGAGCCAGGTGGGTCACAGGTTCAAGACCTGCTCTGACTGCAGAGTGAGTTGAGGTCCCGTTGAGCAACACAAAGATCTGAGACTGAAAAGGTAAGAAGAGGAATGGAGATGTAGCCCCCTGTGTGTGTGAGACCCAAGGTGCAAGCCACAGTGCCAGCCAAGCAACGCAGCACAGCTGTGGACCAGGGCCAGCAGTCTGTATCCCAACGCAGCACAGCTGTGGACCAGGGCCAGCAGTCTGTATCCCAACGCAGCACAGCTGTGGACCAGGGCCAGCAGTCTGTATCCCAACGCAGCACAGCTGTGGACCAGGGCCAGCAGCCTGTATCCCAACGCAGCACAGCTGTGGACCAGGGCCAGCAGCCTGTATCCCAACGCAGCACAGCTGTGGACCAGGGCCAGCAGCCTGTATCCCAACACAGCTGTGTCAAAGTTTAGAAGCACCCATACAAGCATCACTCAGTTCTTCTTTTCCTCCTCCTTTTCTTTCTTCTGGTATTCTTTTTAAAAGCTAGGTGTTTCGTTTTTTTCTTTTTTGACTATGTGGACTAGACTGTCCTTGAACTCACAATTCTCCTGCCTCTGCTGCAGGGCTGGGATTACAGGCACATACCACATTCCTAAAGTTTCTTGTTTCAAGTATAACTGAAATAAAGTGTGTGCTCCATGGGAAATATAAGGTTGTGTGTGTTGCTGTAGGTGCATGTTGTATGCTGGTAAAATCGAGCTGCTCAGTACATCCGTACTTGATTCTAAGTCATCTCAAAGCCATAGTTTGTGCCGTGTTGAGTGTCAGTGAATTCACTCACACCTTGGTTTGTACAAAGACGCACTGGTGCAAAGTGCCAGTTGTCCCACTGCTCCTTAAAGTCTTGCTGCTTGTCACATGCCGGGGTTTCAGAGACCCAGGGATATGGGTATCAGCACTGTCATCACCAACATCAGTTCATAGACACTTAGCAGGTACAGCAGTGAGGATTCGAGCCCGGCTCTGCTGGACTGTAGCACCTCCCAGCAGCATGCTGGGGCCTTGGGATCATCTTATACATGCAGCGCTGACTGCCAAGACCCACTGTGAATAGTATCTATTGCAGGAAGCATATGCTTACCTTAGGCCCAGCCAGACTCGTTTTAATTACTGCAGGGTTTTAATTACTAATTGAATTTTTGTCTCAGACCCCACAGATGAATCAAAAGATAGCTCAGGCCCTGCCAACTCAACCACTGACCTGCTGAAGCAAGGAGCAGGTAAGTGTCACCTGAGATGGGACAAATACCCAGGCCTGTCTTTCCTGCCTCCTGCTCCAGCCCCTCCTTCAGGTGCAGGTTGAAATTTCCTCCCAGATTCCATTTCTGTTGCAGTGGCTTTGGTTCAAGGCTTGCCTGAAATTTGTCTGCACCTGCCTCTGCACAGTGGAACTGAGGGATTGTCCCCACCTACTCTAGGCCCCCATGACTCCTCTTTGGCTCTGTTTCTTCCAGCTTGCAATGTGCTCTTCGTCAATTCTGTGGACATGGAGTCACTCACCGGGCCACAGGCCATTTCCAAAGCCACATCTGAGACTCTGGCTGCTGACCCCACACCAGCTGCCACCATTGTTCACTTCAAGGTCTCTGCCCAAGGAATCACACTGACTGACAATCAGAGAAAGTAAGTCTGTCTACCTACTTCTTCCTCCAACCCACGCCCTATTTACCCACTTACTCAAGCTCTGACCATCCCTGTACCCGTTGCCTGCCTATGTACCTATGCGTCCACCATCCATCCTCCATCCACCACCGGCTTGTTCATCTACCCACCTACCCACCTACCCAACCAATCATCCACCTATCTGTTCACCCAGCCACTCATCAACCCATCGCCCACCCACCAACTTATCCACTCTTACCTCCATCCATGTATGCTTCTGTTCACTCACTGAACAACCCACACACGTGTGCGTGCTTGAGCATACAGAATACAGCTGAAGAAAGCCTTGGCTTTTAAGAGTAGAGGTTTTCTGTGTTCTCAGCTCATTTCCTTCCTCCCCCGAGTTCCCCATTTGTCATTTCTCAGTGCCAGTTGCCTTGCCAGCCCCTAGCATGGTGGGGTATGTTTCCACAGCACACCTGCCTGTCCCTGTGCGGGGCAGAGTCCTGGTATGAGGATCTCAGGTCATCTTATTCATAAGGAGAGGCTGTATGAACCCAGGATAGGCACAGTGCTGGGAACGTGGCCTGCCCTGCAGGCGTGAGAAGGCAGTTATTCCCACACTCACTCTGGCACTCTGATATCTCTGCTGCAGGCTCTTCTTTAGACGACACTACCCCCTCAATACCGTCACCTTCTGTGACCTGGATCCACAGGAGAGAAAGTAAGTGTCTTATGGGACCTTCGATCTAGCCACTGAAGTGTGTGTTTCCTGTGTGCCTGGGATCCTTGGATTATCTTCTGTGTGGTATTGGGATGTGTCTCCTAGAATGGGGGCTCCTCTGCCTTCCCCTGGCAGGGCTGCTAAGAGAGACGCATTGACTAACCGTGGTCATTTTCTCCACAGGTGGATGAAGACAGAGGGCGGCGCCCCTGCTAAGTAAGTGTGGCTTCCCCTGCACCCAGCTGGTTGCCCTTTGTACTCTGTGGGTAAATCAGGGACAGGGACAGGCTCTAGCCAGGGGTCTGATGAGGGCCTGCATGCCAAGGTCTCTGAGATCAGGTGAAAGAGAATGTAGCCCACATCTCGATGCTAACAGAGACATGTGAGTAGGCATGGATTTGGAAGGATTTGTGGAAGGAGGCAATAAATAGTCTTAAGTGACAGGTGCATTTTGGGTAGATAGAAATGGGTTTAGGGGTAGAAGAGGTTACTTCAGAGGAAGGGGTTGAATGACTCTCAGACTGCAGGCTCCTGAGGACAGGGTGGGTCTGTCAGTTGCTGACAGTTGTTGAATGAATAAATGGAGGCCAGAAGCGCTTGGACTGGACCAAAGAGAGAGCACCTTGATTGGGAATGGAGAGGACTGGTTATGAATCTAATCCTTGTCAGGGGGTGGGGGGGGGTTCCAGAGGGGCTGTCGAGGAGGGAGGATGCCTCAGCCTTCTGTAACCTTCAAAGACTCTACAGGGACCTCACATTCTTGTGCCTCCATATGTCACAACCTCTTCATGCTAGTGCCAGACAGACAGGCCAGAGTTTGCCAGTGGATCAGACAGCAGTGCTCAGAGCAGGCGCAATGGGCTGTGTCTCTGTCCTAGCAGACGCAGGTGGATAGGCCTATGTGCTTCTATTCTGGGCACTCAGAGATGCCCTTTGCCATGCCACAGTCACAGTCAGCCTGGAGAGGGAAGTGTCCTGACTCATCTCCTGGCCATTATTGCAGGCCTTCAGATCCCACCGCAGAGCTGAGAGAGTAAAGCTGTTTGAAGCACAAAGTTGTGTGTGTGTGTGTGTGTGTGTGTGTTTCCTCATCATGTACATGTGTGTGCCCTGTGAACATGATATGCCTATGTGTGTAGGTGTGAATGGAGTGTGTTTGTGTATGCGTGCACAGACACACACAGGCAGGCCGAAAGCCAGCCTGGCTAATTTTAGCTGTGTGTGCCATGCATACCCGGCTGAGGGGTTTCCATCGGCATTTCCAGCTGTCCTGATTTCCCCATCTCACTCTAATTAGCAACATGCCGGCTGGGAGGGGCCCTGAGCTCACATTCTGTTCTCTGTGCTCATATTTTTAACTCTGTTTTGCAGAGAGAGAGAGAATGCTGGGTCACTCCCATTGGTGTTGGAGGGGGCAGGAGACAGGTGTGGGGTTCCTTGCCCCTCCTATTTTCAGGGCTTCCCAGCTTCCAGAGCTAGGAGAGAGGGGGGAGGGAGGATCTGCTTCTGTTTGTCCCTGACCACCTAGGAGGCGTGTCCTGCAAGAACCCTCAGATGGCTTGGACTCGTCCTCCCGTCTCATGTCCTTGCACCCTTTCTAACCAGTCTTGTCACTCACCCAGCTCATCTCCCACCCCCCACTCCCCAGGGGAATGTCACCTGCCCTGAAACAAAGCAAAGCACTGTCCCCAGGACTTGGCTGTAAGAGCTAGCCCCAGTTCTAGATGCTTGGGGAGGTGTGGGGGCTGGGGAAGCCAGGCTGGCCTGAGGCACGCTTTACCTGCCTGGGTTGCCCTCCGGAGCCTGGGGTCCTTACATAGGCACCCTCTTCTACCCCCTACAGGGTCTTTGGCTTTGTGGCCCGGAAGCAGGGCAGCACCACGGACAACGCCTGCCACCTCTTCGCTGAGCTTGACCCCAACCAGCCTGCTTCTGCCATTGTCAACTTCGTCTCCAAGGTCATGCTGAGTGCTGGCCAGAAGAGATGAACCCTGGAGTCTTTGCCCAAGGCCAGGGCACTGGGGATGGGGTGTGTGGGGAGGGGATCTGCGAATCCTGACCACCTTGAATCCTGAAAGAGGACTTTGGGTTGACTGTGGAGAAGGAGAGGAAAGTGCAATGCTGGGAGAGGGAAGTGAATTGCGGAGGGGAGGGGAGGGGGAGGAGGAGGACAAAGGAGGGGGAAAGGAGCTCAGAGTCCCCTGTACAGATGGAAGCCACACCTCCCAAAGCTTCTCCTGCTGGCTGGGGACCCTGGCTCCCCTCCCCCAAAGACCTCTTTGGGGGACCAGATTTCAAGGAGCAATGAAAAAGCTTGTTCTCCCCAACCCTCCTGCTTTGAGAGAAGAAACCTAGCTGAGGCTACTTCTCTGGAGGTAAGGCTGCCAAGCCCAGTGGCCAGCGTGTGACATCAAGCGGTGACATGTTGTTGCCTTCTGCTTACCTGAGGCGCCTGTGGTCTGTGCGTACTCTGACTTCTTGCTGCAGGCTGCACATGTGCCCCCCGTGCACTGATCAGTGCCTGCCTCTGTCCACTCGAATTGCAAACGGCTCTGCTTGTCTGTGTCCCTTGTGGTATACATGTACACACTGACCAAAGAGGGCTAGGGATATGGGGTGGCAGGGTGCCAGGCCAGAGACAAGCTGTCTCCTGCAGGAACATAGCATTATGGGTAGCAGTTCTCTCTCTGTTTCTACAGCTGCCCTCTAGTGGCCCTTGGGGCCTCCAGCCTGTCCCCTGTAGAGACCCTGGTACAGAGGGCATAGCCATCCTGCAGCATTAGCGTTGTTCTGTCTCTTTGAGGAAGAGGCAGCAACGCCCACAGTCTTGGGAAAGGTCCCTGTGAGGAAGGGTGCCATCTTTCCTGTGGTTCTTGGCGAGTTGGGCATGTGCACTGATAGTGTCCAGGACTCTGCCTTACACCCTTCTCTCAGCCCAGTCCTGGTCCAGGAGTGCCGGCATTAGCTTTGTACTTACTCACCTGCTTGAGGCCTACTGGGGAACGGGAGCTGTGCCTTTCTGACCTACCCTGTCCCATACGGTTGGCTTATCCCAGGAGCCTGCTTCCCAAAGTCCTGCCCAGGGTATCCAGGGAGGTCTGAGCCCCCCTTTCCTCTCTGTATTTGTTGTGGACACCCTTCTGGCTGGGCTGTCCAGGGTGACATCATAGCACCTCTGGGGATGTTGCTGGAGAACCACATGGTCCTCCTACAATGCCAAAGCTTCCCTGTTCCTCTTCTGCCTCAGTTTCCCCAGCAGAACCATGCTTTCTGTGGGACAGAGGACAGAAGATATGAATTTAGGCCAAAGGTCCTATGGTCCATTTGTGGGGTTGAGAAGGCCCCTGTCACCACTCAGGCCTCCATTTAAGCCCATGGGAGTCCCTAGGGGTGGCATTGTACTGATATATAAATATATATAATATATACATGAGACATACTGATAGAATCTGTAAGCTAATAAAAATATAAGAAAAGGTTAAAAAAGAATAGGTAAATTGACAAGAAATATTTATTGTTTCCCCCATATTGCTTTATTGCCCCTGGCCCCAAACTTGTTTCCATTTCTTTTCTAATATATAAGCAGAGCCTGAACTGCAGGGGCCTTTATATTCCAAACAGCCCAGGGCTGACCTTGGCCTTGACCCTGCTCTTGGCCTCCCTAGGCTACGTCTGGGACTTGGGGATGACATGCTTCAGCTCTTTATTCTCTGGCAAGCAGTAGCCCAGCTGCCAGCATCTTGGGTGTGTGGACAACTGCTTCCATCGCCACAGGTTTGAGCCAGCGTGTGTTTGGGGATACAGGTGTGTGCGGTCTTGGTGCGTGTATCTCTTGGATTATTTTTTCTCCTCCAGGGAGCTTTGACTGTATGGATATTGTTTTGAGGAACTGGAAAGAAGAATTTCTAGGTTAGGTGGGGATCATAAGCAGAGACCCCTTTGGGTTCCCGCTTCCCAAAGAATATAAGGGCTTAGTGATCAAGGTCCTTCTAAAGTGTCCTTCCCTAAGAGATATTCAAGGCAAATGTCTCAATTATCCCTTTCCTCATTCCCCAAGGAACCCCACTTCTTCCCAAGCTAGAAGAAGAAATTTCTCATCCCTTTCTTTGTAAATACCCTTATCCTGCTGCACAGCCTGGGGCAGCTTCTCCTGGCTGCAAAGTTCACTTGAGCCTTTGAGGATTGTCAGAACCTCCACACCCTGCCTTGGGCCCCGCTGGAGTCTGGGGCCAATAACCTTTGTATATGGTTTCACCTTCTCATGCTGCACTCAGGCCCAAGCCATGTGTGAGTCATGTGAAGGACCAAGGTGGATGCTGGGAAGTGGGTGCCTCCTTCCCAGCATGCCTCTAGAAGGAATAGACACCCGAATTTGACTTTCCTGGAAGAATGTTGGAGAAGGGCCCTCAGTTCTTACACTGGGAACCGCACTGTAGACTGCCCTCTTCCCCACTGTGATTCTCACAGATGGGCCTCTGCACATTCATGCACGCACACACATGCACACACGCATACACACGCGCACACACACATGCACACACACACACACACACACAGACCACATGCACTATCACCACTCTATATGCAACCTATTCTTGCCAAATATTTCCGTCACACATGAGCACTTTTTGACCCATTGTTTTTCTTGTGAGTGGTCTGTTTTGCTGTTCTATATTGTTGAGCCTGTATGTCAGCAGGGAGTGTGCTGTCTGCTCCTAAATGAGTGGGAGGGGTAAGGAAGACAAGTGAGCATGGCTGTCTGTGATGTCATCAACAAGACCCCTCAGCTACAGCCCAGGTCCATACTGCCTCTGGCAACTCAGAAGATTGCTGAGACTGACCTGAGGTCTTACCCTCCCAGATATCCAGAGGTGAGACATCAGAGAGAGAGAGACATTAATTGAGCCAGGTTTGGGGCAAGGGGAGGCCCCCATAGTTCTGGGGGTTAAGACCTGGGCTAGAATGCAGTGGATGGGCGGCCTCAAAGGGAGGGCTGGGAAACATTAGCAATTGGAGGTCACTATTGTGCTGCTGTGGACCCCGTCTCTTGCCCAGCCATGTCTGAGGAACGAATTCACACCTTAGGTTTGGGTCCCTTCCCCAGCCTATCCCCAGAAGCTTAGAGAGCTTCCAATGGGATTGCCAGGATTTCTGGTACACTCTGGCTTTGGAGAGTCCCTGGAGATACCTATCTAGGGGTGAAGAGAGGACACCATGTCTGTGTCCTTCTAGAAAGGGGCTTTCAGGAGAGAGAGAGAGAGAGACCTTGCACTAGGTCTGAATAGAGATGAGCCAGGCTCCTGCTCTCTGGGCAGCGCAGGAGAGAGACATGAGTGAATACCACCCATCCTGCTCTGGGTTTTCTCCATCCTACCTCCCAGGGTTTCTGATCCCCTTTTCCCAGCTTCAGACCTTGGGGAGATCAGCCCTCTCCTGCCTCCATGCCTTGGGTCCTTGAAGAGCTTGGATCCAAAATTAGGGCCACCCCTGCACTTAGGCCTTGGCAGAAGATCTTGAGACTGGTGTTTCCGTGGTCATTGGTGACAGGATGTATGTGTGTGTGTGTGTGTGGGTAAGTGTGGGTGTGTGTGCATGGGAACTTTGAGCTGGGAGATGGAGGTGGTGGATGGAGGGATGTCGAGTTCAGTGTGACCAGGTAGTGAGAAGAACCAGGAGGTGAGGCCTGATGGGCCACTGTGTTTTAGTGCTGGGGATGGAGGGGACAGTCACATAGGATGAGGCTCAGCAGGCCTCATCCTTGTCTCCTGTTTCCTCAAACGGCTGAAAAGTTGCAGGGTCTCAGTTGGTTTCCATGCCTGGTCCCCTCATAGCAGCAAGGCCACTGAAGGGCAACACACCACGTGTCTTCTCGCCAGCATTCACAGCCCAGCCCTCCCTGTGGACCCACATTCGGCTCATATGTGTGTGAGCACATTGGGGTGTGCATGCAGTCCCCCCACTTTTTCATTCAAAACAAATGTAAGAAGTTCCTCATGTCCTGGTTATTCCAACCCTGCCTTCCAGGCCCTCTGCTGGGAGAGTCATACCGAGTCCACCCCTTGCCCCCAAGTCCCCTGAGCCCCCAGCCCCTCCCAGCCCTCTGCTGTGTATTTATAGATGGAAATATACTTTATATTTTGTATCATTGTGCCTATAGCCTCTGCCACCTTGTATAAACCCTGTTGTATGCTAAGTGTTCTGGATATGAATGTATGTACACTGATGCTATCCCCCTCTGTACAGCTGCTTAGTCTCTTACAATCCATTGTATGGCTTTATAAATGATAACATGAAACACAAACCCAGGCTGTCGTCTGGCTGTGTTTGGGCTCAGCTGGGTCTTCACTGGACAAGAGGGCTTTTGCCTGAACATCAGAGACCAGGGTCTTCAGTGCTGCTTCTGGAAGCCCAAGCAATGGCCCCAGCACTCATCCTGTTCATCATGTTACTTGTATGGACTCCCAGCTGAAAAAGGTGCTCAAAAGAATCAATCTGGGAGTGCATTGATTGACCTGAGTGGCAGAGTGGGGTCTGGGAGCTCAAATGGCAAAAACAGAAGTCTGCCCCCATCTTGTAGTTATCAGCATACTTTGTCAAGGTGTGAGGCCACTCCAGGCTTTCCTACCAGCTTGACGGTTCCACCGAGAGGGGATCCTCCTCCCCCCACGCTCTAAGCCAGCCTACACGAATCCTCATCGGCTCTAAGAGAGCCTTCGTGATCTCAGAACTCAGTCCAGATCTGGGCTACACAAACACCTTCAGGGCCTTCTGAATCTACAGGATGGAGAAGGGGCAGTCCTGGAGGGCTGTGGCTTCTGCAAGGAATGAGCAGAAACTGTCAGGCAAAGTGACTGGGTGCCATCAGGTGAGACCTGCAGCTCGCGGCTGTTTGGGTGCCATCAGGTGAGACCTGCAGCTCGAGGCTGTTTAGGGGTTCCGAGTGGCTCACTGGAACTCAGCAGTTTTGGATGGTTCCCACCAGGGCGTACTGAGCACTGTGGGTGAGGAGGGCCTCTGGGAGACCCACAACCTTCACAGAACTCAGCTCCCTACTCTCCAAAGTCCGAAGAAGAGTCTCAGTCAGCTGACCTGAGCAAGCATGGCTGCCTTCCGTGCAGCCCAGTGGTGGGGCTTCGGGGCAGCCTTGACACACTTGTGGGTATTGAAACTCCTTGACACTCTTCAACATGATAGGACCCCATGGAGATTTTTCATAGACTCCTTATATATTTTTTTTACCTTTACACAGAATTTAAAAACCGAGAACACTTCAAAAATATAAATTCACTCATAAAACAATACTAAATTTACACGTTGAGTGTAAAAATGAATGGCATTTTCTAAAGTAAGCATTAGGTAGCATTTTTTGGCATGGTTTAAAGCCTCTGGCCTCTGCTGTGTCTGTCACTCCTTCTGCTGTGAGAGCTTCTTGAAAGAAACTGTATCCTTGGAAAGAAACAAACAAAATGAATAGTGGCTTAAACAGCACTATGAAATAGTTCTGGTCTCACAGTCCCTGAAGAGGGTTTCAGAGACCCCAGGCTCCCAAACCACTCTCTGACCTCCACTTATCTATAAGGGACACAGCTGGAGAGGCAGAACGTATCTGGTGGGGACAGAGTGTGTCTGTATTCCTATTGCCTGTGGGTGTTATGTCCCACATCCTGAGGGACACACCAGGAAACCAAAGCTCTGTGAAGTTACCTTGTCTTCTCGGAGCGAGAACAAGTGGTCACTGAGGGCTGGAGCCTGAACCAACAGGCACAGGAATGCATTTTCTCAATCAAGCAGGTGTACCTATCCTCCTGCCCATCCTACAGATGAAAAGACTGAGGCTCACAGAAGGTGAGGCACTTGTGCAGAGTCAGGACCCTGGGATAAGGGACAAAGCCAGGCTGTGGACCTTCCCTCTAGGCCCTTCCTAGCTCAAGACCCTCTGGGAGAGACTAGCTCTGATGAGCAATGGCCATACCACAGGTCATACAGTGTGACAGGTAGGTAGTCAGGCTGGCTTTCCAGATAGGGACATAGACTTTCCTGCCCCTTCCCATCAGTTGTCCTGGGATCCAGCCTTCTGATACCCTGAGACAGTTCCAGAGCATCTCTCATGGATGCCAGGATGAACTGGTCAGCAGGGTGGGGCTGTGAGGTCAGGACATGGTGCACAAATGTGTGGGTGCACATGAACTGATAAGCCAATTAGTTTTATGCCAACTTGACACACACTAGAATTATCCATGAAGAAGGAAAATCAGCTGAGGAGCTTCTGCGGTCAGATTGGCCTGTAGGCAAGTCTCTGGGCATTTTCTTGATTAATAATTGGTGTGGGCAGCACAGACTTCCGTGGGTGGTGCCACTCCTGAGCAGTTTGTCCTGGGTTACATAAAAAATGCAAGCTAAGCGAGTCAGGAAGAGCAAGCCAGTCAGCAGCACCCCTCCATGGCCTCTGCTTCAGTTCCTGCCTCCAGGATCCCGCTCTGACTTCTTGCTCTGACTTCCCTCCATGACAGACGATGAACTGTCAGCTGAAATAGACCCTTTCCTTCCCACGTTGCTTCTGGCTGTCATGTTTCAGCAGGGCAGTAGAAAGCAAACCAAGAAGCTCTGTCGACGAGGGCAGCGCCATGGGCTAGGAGTGGGGGCTGGAAGGAGGGGATGATGAGCAGTCTCTGCTATCAGAACCAGCCAGCTCTGGACTCCACACATGCTTTCTGGCAGTGGTTCTCAACCTGTGGGTCGTGATCACCAGAAAACACGTATTTCCAATGCTCTTAGAAGCCCCAAACTATAAATTTATTTTTGTTGCTACTTCCTAACCATAAATTTGCTACTGAGTGGTGTCTCAGTTCCTAAGATGGTGGGGAATATGTTTCCAATGGTCGAGACCCACTGATGGAGAACTAGAATTTCAAGGGTGGTTAGGGTGGAGACCAGCTTGGAAAGGAAAGGGGTTCTGGGGGTGGGGAGCTCCAAGGAGGCCCTTGAGAGATGCTATCCCTGTATGGCTTCAGGTACAGCTGTGAGAGTTGTCATGTCTAGAAGAAGCCATATGCAGACTGGATGTTACCAGAGTTTTGGGCAGAGCCTGGACCCTGCTAACCCTAACAAAGTGGGCTCAGCCACCAGTCCTCATTGGCAATTTTTAAAAAACGAGGTACAGGGACCTGAGGTCCAGCTTCAGAGTCATGACATGAGGTTTAGGCTGAAACAGAGGTACACAGAGCTAAGCAGTGTGGACAAGGGTCCCAGCCACGCCCCTCACCACGGCCTCCACTCCAGACCTCAGACAGCCTGGCGGGTTGTGAGGCCCTGTGAAATCTGTTAGCCGGAGACAAGCTTCGCCTCTGACTGCCTCCAGACTCCAGCCTAGCCTGAGACTCCTGGGGGAATTCCAGTTTCTTGGGGATTCATTGTCTCAGTAGTTTGGTAGCTGGAGGGAGGGACACACCTGTCTCTACTTAGAATATCTTCATCCCTGCCTGGATAATTAGAGATGTGAAGCATCTTAGATATCCTCTCTCTCCTCCCGCTGCACTGTGACATTTCTTAAAGGGTGCTTGCCTAAGACCAGACATACTAGATTTGTTCCTAGCTCTGGTGGACTCTCAAGAGAGTCCTCTTTCCTGGGCCTCAGTTTCCTCATCTGCAGGATGGGTATGTTTTGCCACTAAAGGGTTAGCCCGTAGACTGAAACTACACAGCACGAGTGTGATCTGCCACTTACTATGGCTCTGTAGACCCTGTGAAATACACGCTACTGGGTCTTGCTGGGCCTCTACTTCCTCCAGCTTCCTCCACCAGCTTGGTAGCCTCCTTCTTCTTGGCAGTGAAGAAGCTGTGGAAGCTGTGTAGACAGCTTACCAGTGAACGATATTGATCTGAGTGGTTCTCGGACTGCAGCCCACAGGTTAGGGGGTGGGGTGTAGCCGCCTCTGAGGCTCCAGCTTTTATGGGGCCTTGAAGATCATCTCTTGGCCATCAGGACAGGATGTCCGGGCTCCCTCAGCCTCTGCCCCTCCCTCCAAGCTTCCCAGGCCTTACCCTCCCTACATCCTGCACTTGGAGTAATGAACATGGCTCAGGGTCCTGGCTGACTTGGGTCATCTGAAGCTGGGCCTGGGCAGAGCCTGGACCCTGCCAACCCTAACAAAGTGGGCTCAGCCACCAGTCCTCATTGGCAAGTTTTTAAAAAGGAGGTACAGGGACCTGAGGTCCAGCTTCAGAGTCATGACATGAGGTTTAGGCTGAAACAGAGATACCCAGAGCTAAGCAGTGTGGACAAGGGTCCCAGCCACGCCCCTCACCACGGCCTCCACTCCAGACCTCAGACAGCCTGGCGGGTTGTGAGGCCCTGTGAAATCTGTTAGCCGGAGACTAACAAGGGTTACGGGTCCTTGAGGAAGGTGGGAGACTGCCGGGGAGGGATGGAAGAAGTCTGAGGCCATAAAGATTCCAAGAAGCCATCACTTCCAATTCAGTAGACGTTAAATGAGCACTTACAGTGTGCGGGCACCGAGTTTGGCAGCGAGCAGCAGTGGGGGCCTGTCCCTGCAGAGAGTGCCCCTTTGGGTCCAACATTTTGACCCAGCACAGCATTGTCATCTGTATAGTTCACACTTGAGGACCATGTGACTGACTACAACAACAAAAAACAAAACAGCAGAAGTCTTCCAGGGGCAGATTGGACACACCTGGGAGAATCACCAGGTGGATCGTGACAATGCCGTAGGCACCACGGAGGAAGGGGCTCCAGGGAGAGTAGAGGTGGACCCAAGGACGTAGCATGTCCCATGGTGAGAGTCCAGTGACCAAGAGTTGTCTGGGTGAAGAGGGGGGAGGATTTTTTCCAGTGGAGGGAGTAGAAGCATCAGAGGCAGGAGGCGCTTGGAGCATCTGACCCTCTGTACCTCCCCACGAGTAGCAGCCTTTATAAGGGAACTTGATGTTCATTTGCAGACAACAGGATAGTGGTTATGGTGGTTGAATAGGAATGACCCCCAAAGACTCATGCGTTTGAATGCTTGACCTACAGGGAGTGGCACCATTAGGAGGTGTGGCCTTGTTACTGTGGGGGTGGGGTTTTGAGGTCTCATATGCCTAAGCTATGTCCAGTGTGGCTCTCAATCTCCTGCTGCTGCCTATGGATCAAGATGTAGACCTCTAAACTCCTTCTGCAGCAGCATGTCTGCCTACATGCTGCCATGCTTCTCTCCATGACAACTGTGGACTACACCTCTGCACTGTAAGCTATCCCAGTTAAATGTTTCCCTTCATACGAGTTGCCATGGTCATGATGTCTCT